GCTCATGCCAAAGCAGACCTTGCCCTGCCACTTCATCTCATGCAGCTTGGCTCAGCATCGCCACGTGCTAGGCGCTTCACCGTACCCTTGAAGTTGTCGAGGTTCGATATATGCAGCGCTCGGGCATCTGCAGCGCCTTGTAGAGGTTCGGCAAAACCGAACCTCGCGCAGCTCGCCGTCTCCGGAAAATGCAGGCGGACCCGTCTTGATCAGGGTTTGCCTTTTCCGCTGAAATGAACAGCCTGCCTTGAAAAGGGTTTCTACACTGTCAGGGGGGCTGCTTATTTCTCCCTCAAACAGTGGAAAAGGCAAACCATGGTCTTGATGACCTCGTCCACGAAACTGGCGTTCAGGGCCCACCTTGCCACCCGCGCGGCGCCATCCAGCTGCGGCAGCACGCCTTTGGGCGCGCCGCATGAGGCGTGAGGCCGCACGCCTGGGGCGGCTGAGTTTCCGGGATGTCGAGGCTGAGCGGGGCCCAAGGCCAACTTCCCAGCTGCCTTGGCAGAGTCCACAAGCTGCTGGCCCCGCTCTGCGCGGGCAATCATCTGCACCCAGCCGTCCCACTCGTGCTTCCGCTCTTCCGTAATCTCGCGCGCCGTCAAAATGGTCATAGCACACTTGATTTGACCCTGGCAAACTTGATGGGCATGCTCAATGCTGCTGCCACCGTCAGTGAAGGAGTGCTTCTAAACTTGGACCCTCCGATTGATAAACGGATCAACGACAAGACACCTCCATTTGCGTTTTGGTCCCCTGGAAAAAATGAGATAGTATTTTTTCCAGTAGTGAAATCGATTCCCTTTCAAACCAACAGGGGGAAAAACAAAACATATTCATTTCACCCCATGGAAGGCAACCCTCTGGCCACTCCTGCGCATGGTGTATCAGACTGAAGGCCATCTGCCGGCAGCAGCGCAGCTCCTTTTCCTCACGGGTGAAAAGAAACCGCCAAAAGGGGAAGGGGTGTACATGGCATGGATGTTTAACCGACTTAGATATAGCAAGTATATTTGCCAACCCCAATTGTCCCACATATCACAAGGCTCAGGGTTCTGACCTGCTTACTGCGTGGCGTGGATTTCCGCGTAGGGCCCCAGCAGGCTGCGTGGACAAGGCTTCCCTCACACTTCCATCTCTTAAGAAAAATAGCCAGTCAGTGGAAGGCACGGTCTGATAGCTATACTCCAGGAATAGGCGTTGAACATAACGTTGACCGAACCGTGTTAAATCTTGACACGAAGCATTCTCTTATTACAGGTAATTGGCCTACTGTGGTTGCTCCCGGATGTTTCTCCAAGTTGAGCTAGCGACTGTGGCCAACGGCACCAGGAGTCCAATCAGGAACCGAGTGAGTTATAACAAAAGCATGGCATTGCTGGTGTTTACCCAACATCATGCAAAGAAGCAAACAGGCGGCAAGCCGCACCCACAGGTGGTCGGGTTGTTTCAAGCTGTCGTCAGCAAGGAAGCTTGAGGCAGAAGAACGCGGTCAAACAGACACACCTGGACGGTCAAAAAAGCTTCTTAACATTGTAAACCAGAACTCAGCACGCCATGCCCCACGAAGCGCTTAATATCAAAGCATTGTCCAACTGCTTGGCAGATTGTGGACTCTTTGGATTGGCGCGTCAAAGCTCCCTGCATGATTTATGAAGATGATAGCTGCCAACGGAACATCAACATTCTAACAAATGATACCTGCACATACAAGGTACGAGTATGACTTGCAAATACAGGGTTTAACTTCTTTTGTTTTCGGTCCGCACTCGCAACAGGCATATCCAAAGCTTCCCACGCTGTCCTCTTCCTCCACATCTCGCTTCGCCTTCCATTCCAGGGCAGCAGTGACCTGCAAATGGGGATGCGTCTCAGATGTGGAGGGCGCGGTTCGCACCGCAAATTGTGATGCCACATTCTGCTTTTAAAGAGACCGCCTTTGGCAGGTTGCGTTGAATGAGCTGGCACCTGCCAAACAGCACCGAAAGCCAAACACCTCACAATCTTTGAAACTAACAATGACCAACCATGCCCACCAACCAAACACCTGAAAAACAACCCGGAACAAATGCTCACCAACCAAAACTCAAAAGCAAACAGCCAAAAATGCCACCAACCAACACTTAAAAACCACAACCAGCCAAAAATGCCGCCAACCAACACTTAAAAAACAAAACCAGCCAAAAAAGCCACCAACCAACATTTTTAAAACCACAACCAGCTAAAAAACAAGCCACACAATGCACCAACAACGAAGCAACTCTTGGGGAAGCTGCGGAGAAATCACCCTCCGGACCTTCTCCAGCCAGGCTTTGCCGCCGGTCCTGGGAGTGCCATCCGACCTCGGATGCGGACCCACATGGCTTGTCCCCTTTTTCAGGGGGAATCGGAACCCCCAAAACGGCCGCACTATGGACCCCCCACCCTCAAAAAACGAAAGAAGAAAGGCGAGTGTGTCCATTTTTTTTCGGGAGCGGGGTTGATTTTTGGGTCTCCCTTTGGAGACAACAAAAAAGGGGTACCAACGCCAAAAAAATACACAGAGCCACATCTGGGGTACATCAAACAACAACGATTTGCAGAGATTTGGTCAGCTCTAAAGAAACGAAAACACAAGAAGCCTGGTCATCGCTGGCCTCATTGTTGCACCATGGTCAAAGTCGCCCCCGTGCAGTGGGTCAAAGAGAAACAACCCCATTCCTGACTTCGACAAGCGCTGGAAACAGTCACACATACACGTCACATCAAAAGCATGTAGAGGGCTTTGTTGTGCAAGGAGGCATGCTTATAAGTATGCGTATTATACAACAAGCCCACTCAATCCAGAGCACCTTCTCGGTCTTGGACCGAACACACCACATAAACATAGGGTTGCCCCCCCGCCAAGTGGTACTGAATCGGGGAAGCAAATGTGCCTCGAGCTTCCCTTCAAAGAGGCTCGTTTCCGTTTCTGGGGGGCATATCTCTGGGACGCTGCCGCGTGGGTGGCCGGACATAAATCGGGGGGCCAGCCTGCTCTACTCAACCGCTGCCAGGCGGCGGCGGAACGCGGCCCTGCAAAAGGCAGTCCAGCAGCTTGTTGGCCTCGTGCCTTGGAAGGGTACTCAGCAACTGGCTAGCATCCATGGTTACCAGCCTATGAGACATATGTTCACTGGAAGAGTAATTACTCAATTGGCGAGCATCAACGCTTGATCACCAGCCTATGGGACTCACACTGGTGGGTTTTACTAACCAGTACCTTTGTGCATGACATCTAGCTTCTGACTCCTAGCACTTGACTCTGGCAGATTAAAAGCATACTTCTTGCCACGTGGGCCCAGTTTTCAACATGAAAAAAAAGAGCGTCGGAAAAAGTGTCAATCAAAGTTTGCCAACTCAATCAAAGGCAGCTCCAATGACCGACAAGCCCCTTAGCCTTTAGCCCACAAGGGTCCAAGACAAGTCTGAGGCTGCTACATATCAACTGAAAGGACACCATATACGTGTAGGTCTATACACCAAATATGACGTCAACGTCAACGTAGCAGCCATTGACTCCGAGAGTATTTGTTTTAAGAAGAGGACCATCATGCAACAAACAAAGAAGTGCGCAGGCTCTACGTGCGCAGGGAATAAGTGTGTCTAACAAGTCACAGGCCCGGCTTCTTCATTAAAAACAAAAAACAACAAAGCAGGAGTGAACCAGTTTGAAACATTTCCTTAGAGGAACCTCACAAAGCCCAGTGGCTTTTTAAATGCTTCCGCAAGCATGGGAAGTGGAGGACCATGCTAATAGATGATTCCGCTACTTATTGTGTCTGGTTCTCTTGCATGAGACTAAGGCTAACAGAAATCACAGCTACTGGACAGGCTTCCCTGCACTTCTCTTGGACAAAGCATCACACTTCAAAGAGCATCGCATGAAATAGACAAGCAAAAACAGGGTGCTGCTCAACAACATCTGCAGTGAATCTCCTTGTTTCAAAAACAATTCAAGCTTGAGAAACTGCAAGATAGTTGCACCTTGTATCTGAGAGAATCATCTAGCTGAGGACATGTCGCCGAATGTGAGCTCAGCTGACTTAACGCAATATGAGCATACGTAAACATGAGTGACCCTTTTGGAAACCGCCAAAGGAATAACACCCGCATGGAGATCGTATGGGCAGTTACCCACAAATACTGACAAATTGAGGATATCTTATCTAAGTTGTCTGGGCAAGTTGGACCCCACTCACACGATGACACCCCTGTTCTAAGGAACCCCCAAGCAAGGTTCTCCAAGTAAGGTAGCTTCGTTGTTGCAAACCGAAACCCTTTGTGATGTCGCTATAATTCGACAATAATTCCGTCAAAGCCACAAGTACTAGTAACTCACAATCCAAATCTGATATTAGACTACCCAGAACCATGCGAAGGAATCTAAAGGGCAACCCCTGCCTCAACAATGCTTGAAGTTCAGATTGTCCTCTAGTAGCCTTCACCTACCACGGATGCTCATCATGATTGATGTGTGTTTCTCAGTGTTTTTCTCCGGGGGTTCCAGGGGATTGACTCTTTTCAACCCTCCTTCTTCGCGGAAAAGAAAACAAAAACGGATCCGTTTTCCCCGGGCTTCAAGGGAGGCTTTCTAGAAAGGTCCTGGATAGGTTCTGGAAACGGAAGGCATCCGTAGAGATGTGTTGGGAAGGCAGCCCTGGAAATGACTCGGACGCCTGAAACCAGCGGTTTATTTCTACTTTTTATAAGAAAATTCCCCTCACATCCCTGTTCTTCTTGTGATCGGTGCGAGACATGCAGGGAATGAGAAATGGAAAATCACCCCTATAAACAATCCTTCCTTTCATTTAAGGGGACCAAAGCCTGGGTTCGTTCAACCAATCGCACTGATCGTAAGTGTTCGGGGTTTACAAAGAAAGGCTGGAAGGTACTTACCCCTAGAATTCTTGGGCCTCCTTGTTTATTGACACCACCCGATTTTTGAATTCTAAATTAACCATTTGTGGGGCGGTACCGCCCTGAGGCCCGCACGCCCGGCGCCGCATGGCCTCCGCTTTGGCCAGCTGCCGACGCCAGGCGCTCTGCACCTGGGCCACCACGTGGCTTAGGATCTTCCATTTGGTTAAGGCCGCGGGAAAAAAATAAATAAAAATGTCCAGTAGTGATGCATCCCAATAATAAAACCAAACATGGGGGAAAAAGAAAACGATTCTTAAGCAAATGGAGGTTGTGGCTTGTTCAAAGGGGAAGCCAAAACCATAGGCCCACCGTTGATACCTTTTTTGTGGCTTCGGGAAGCCCACCGTTGATACCTTTTTAGTGGTGGCTTCAGATAAGTTGATAATGTTGACCCCCGTTTTAGTGGGGATTTATCACTTTTGGGGGGAACACCCCCCATATTAATAAACAGGGGTTTATTAATCCGGGGTCAACATTACCTCTTTTTTTCCCGCTTTTCTGGCTTTTGTGTTGATACTTTTGAAGATACCAAAAGCAAAACAACACAAATGTCTTCTTGGCTTCGGGAAGCTTTTAAGGGGCAAACCCGCCTGGAGAATGGGGGCTTCGCTTAACGACAGGCCCTGGCGAAAGTTTGGGGAAAAATACCATGACTTACCTCTGATCGAGTGGATTTGTCAAACAGCTCCTAAAGTCCAAAAAGGAACTCAGGATGAGAAGGGCCGATAAAGCAGCCCGCCCCCTAGCACTCTGCCCTAAATTGCAGCGGTGAAGAAAAGGACATGTCCGCGGCGAGACTTGCTGCAGACGCTGCGATGAAAAAAATGTTCTGACACGTAGGATATGCGGAATCCGAGAAGAACTGCAGATCCCTAATTCAATCCATGCCCGGCCTTCACAGAGGCTCGTTCCTGCCGCAAGAGTTGCAACCGCCGCCGCCTGGCAAAGGCACTTGTCCGGCAAAGGCAGAGGTGAGAGGCGATCAGAGGGATCCGCGAGTTTCGCCCACCAGAAATGTTTACCTCTGATTTCATTGGGACCCGTAGCTGTCAGCGCTAGATACATCCTACATCCTGTTTGGAGGTGCCTTGGATGCTCCGTCTGACCAGGCTGGCACAAGAAAAGTCATCGAAGAATAACGGCATCCAGGACTGTCTGTCCCAAAAGAAATCCTCTTGCGAAGAACGATCCTGTGATGTGGCAATAGCGTGACACCTAGCAGTGGAGCCTTTGTATTGGCACAAAGGGTCAGAACGGGGAAAAAGCAGTAACTCCAAACAGCCACATCAAGATCAATCGTCTGTGGCGCAGAATCCACGGGTAGAAGGAACATTAGGCTTCAGGCTGAAATGCACTCCTCCTGATTCCGGCCATCAAAAATTCAGCTGTGATCAAACCAATTCTTGAGACTGATCCGCCAAAGCAAAGCCCTCCGACAGAGTGCCTAGATTGAGGGATCTGGAGCTAAACTCGATTGCTGCCTTCTGACAAAACCAACTCTGGAACCTCACCTGCTGAGTTTTCTGGCCAAACAGACGCTCAAACCATGACCAAATTGATGAAGGTAAACCTGCTAACCCAAATTCCCTACCTATCGCACCAGCAAGTTCAGATACGAACTCCGAAAGGGCACCAAAAGGACCTTCCCAATTTTGGTCTGTTCCAATTTGATTCATTTCAAAAGGACATTCTCAGTTTTGGTCCGTTGCAATTTGATCCTTAATTGGCTTGGGGCAAGGCTTTTCTTTTGGGAAAGGGTAAAGGGAGCCCAGTCAGCGCCTGACCTTTGTTCTACATCCAAACATCTCACCGGCTCCACCTAGCAGCGCGCTCTCTCCACTGAGGCCCCGAGCGCAGCCACGCCTCGAACCAGGCACTGAAGGGTAATCGCCTCGGCGCTCAAGAGCACAAATTTCTGAGGGAAGTTTTTCCCCCGCCCCACCCCACACCAAAAGGGAAAACAACAAAAACAACACGAAAGCATAGTCTTTCTACAGGGGTTTGTGCACTTCCATGCTAGCTGGTAGTAGGGTAGTGGGTGAAATAAAAACTACCACTAAAACCGACTAAAAGGCTCTAAATCCCACCAACTTTTGTCCAGGATTCCTCTGAGCTGACCAAACAGTTGAGGAAGCAGCCATGTTTGCTCAGAACTTCGATACGAATCTAAGATGTACATCAAAAAGGTGTCTATTGTTTCCAGTGCGACTTGGGATGCTCTAGGAACAACACGCCGTTTGGCTCCCGACAAGTGCCAACGTGTGCTATGTTGCACACTTGGCCTTCTTCGTAGGTGCCGTCAATCAATGGAGCATGTGGCTTTCAAGCTAAATCAGAAGACAGTGCCTATTCGACACATCCCATGATCAGAATCAGGATGTTCGTGCGATTTTTTGTGTGGATAAGTAACATGCTATACATTCATTTGTTTTTCGCCCAGAACCGACTGCTCCCTGGATCTGGGAATTGCGCTGCCTCCCTCCTGCTGGCAAGCAAAGGTCCCACCTGTCGAGATCCATGCGCATTGGGGTGCGCTCGCGTGAAGTGCCAGGATCAAAACTCCCAGTATGCCAATGGTCCTGGCTCCCTTCCTAGAAATCATCAGACTGGCCACTCATACTGCAACCCCTTCTTTCTGAACATTCCTGACATATTCTGTTAGTTTAATGCCATCACATCTTGGCTTGGTAAGGATCCGTGCTACCATGTGGATGACCATTCCTGTTAGCCCCAGGGGTCCGTTGCCCATGGCACATGCCAGAACCAACCCTTCTCACGACGCTCGCCATGCGGAAGGCCCTCCAGGCATGAAGGAAGCCGGCCTCCTCCCGGATGCTCTTTCCTCGCCTGAGTCAAGCGAAAGGACTGCACTGGCCTCACTATTTCTAGATGGCACTGGATTGCTTGCAGCTGGGGTCATTATTTTGACTGTTTCTGGGGGTTCTTCGAGCCAGAAAATGTGTTTGTTTCCCTTAGTCCACCACTGAACGGGGGTGACTTTGATCATGGTAACATAGTGAGGCCAGCAAGAAGCATAGGTGGGCGTTTTAGGCTGGTTTCATTCAAAATCGATGAGTTCCACTGGTTTAGATGGTTTTGACAGCTGCGATGAAACACTTCTGGTGGCCCGAAGTAAGCAGGCTGCAATGAATTCTCATGAAAGTATTTGGACATGAATCATGATCCGAATCTAGTTGGACACTGACAGAGACATATCGCGAAATCACAAAAAAACAAAAACACAGCCGGTGCTTGGTGACACACTATGCCCGAGTCAATGAGCTGAAAAACGCGTTCTTGCTCGTATTCTGTTGGTTGTCTCTGTTGGTTGCTTTCAGGTGGCTTCAAGAAAAAAAAGGCAAAACAACCCAGGGAGCACTCAAACCTCCATTATTGCTGTTGGCCCCACTGACGGTTATGACCTAGGGGACTTGCAAATGCTTTGACCTTGGCGGGTTATTGCTACTGACCACTTTCCTGACACACACCCTGTTGAACATAAGACCCCCAAGCTGTTGCTTAGAAGCGGGGACCAACGAGTACACCGATGTGTTTTTTTTTGGGGGGGGGACCCGCCAAAGTGGCTTCAGTTTTCCTTTCGGGTTCCTTTCGAAACCCACACAAAAGCCTTGGCACCCGAAAGAAAAACAAAAAGGCGCCCAAATCGTGGGCGTTCTTTTGGTTTCCCTTTGAAACCACATCAAACAGGTTGGCAATTACTTCCCGCCCCAAAAAACCACAAGGAGATCCAGCAAATGCAAACACAACGAGCTCGAGGCGGCTGACTCCTGGGCTGGGTCCCGGACGCCAGGCTCTGGATCCTGGTGGCTGCGCCGATGCGCCGCAGCGCCAGCTCCTCCCGCAGCCGCGCCGCCTCGCTCCGCGAAGGAGTGGAGGCGGAGAACGGTTCGACGTGCGATCGATTTTCGGGTTCGATGGTAGGGAATGAGAAATGGAAGGAACCCAGGCTTTGGTCCCCTTCAAGGAAACGCAGTAAGGGATGGTTTATCTCGAAAAAAATACAATTTCCCTTCATTCCTTGCATGTCTCGCACCAGCAAGAAGAACATGGAACAAACTGTTACCCTCCCACCATCTCCCACCCACTAACATGGCACCGGACGGCCACAGGTGGGAGGAAGGGTACGAATTTACCAGGTCTTCCAGTCCAAGAGGGTAGAATAAGGCTACCCTTTTTCCCGTAGATCTTAGGGGAACCCTCCCAACCAAAAAAAGAGAAACGGGGAGACCCGGCACCTCGCTCGCTGGGGGACCCTCAGCGGCCGACGTGCTCGCGGGACTGGGCCATGTGCAAGAGGCCCTGGATACCTGGCGAGCGCTCGAGCCATTTTTTTTTCATCAACTGGAAGCACTTCGACCTCCGAACATCGGTGGCCTTTTTGGAAACAAGCGGCTTTTTCATGCCAAGCCGGCCATCAGCCCAAGATTCCAACGAATTCGGAAACCAACTGTGTTTTGGAAAAATCGATGGGTTTGCCTGGTTTAGATGGGGAAGAAACCCCCTCTAAACCAGGAATCGCCCTCTATTTTTGTTAAGCAAAGCAACCAAAAAGGACACCTATGCCTCCGAAATTTCAAGAGACCTTCTGAACGGCGAAATGGGCTTGGCTCAAAATTAAAGAGCCAGGGCTACGCAGGTGTTGGTCTTTGATAGCATTTACCAAGGTGCCATTTTGGTACATGTGTTTGAGCCACAGCCAAATGTGATGAAAACAAATTATAAAGGATTCAACAGATGTGAAAACTGAACGAGAGCAAAGTTGAACGGCAAATGTGCTAAACTCAAAGGATTCAACCGATGTGATCGCCTCATGTCACGCCAAAACAAAGACGATCAACACTGAGCACTTGATGCAACGCAGGCGTATGAAACTTAGACTTGAGACCCGTGGTGTCCAGAATCCAAGACGGCTTCCCCTACCCCTAAACCGCCAGCAAGCGGGTTTATGGGATATGTACGGCCATATTGCCACTAGACTTAACCCCATATTAATCAACCCCGAATGCAGACCACTCTCGGAGGTCCAAAAACCACCCCCATATGAATAAACAGGGGCTGAACAAAATCCGGGGTACTCCAAGGTACCGCCACCAAGAGGAAACAAAAAGTGGGTTTGGCGCTTCGGCGGGCGACTCAGGCTGCGGCGGGCGGCGGCAATCTGACGCCTCTTGAGCTGCGGGGTTGTGCCTCGGGGGTCTCAAACAACGCGGCTCCGGGGTCGTTTCGTCGGCTTCTGTCGGGTCCCACCCTGTGGAACCCTTCGACGTTGGGTCTCTTAAAAAGGAAGACTAGCTGGACATTACCCCCCCCACCAATGAACATAGAAGCCGGCGGGGGGGGTGTGGTTGGGACCATGTTCCTTTTTTGTTGGGTCTCTTAAAAAGGAAGATTAATTCCAAACATTACCCCCCCACCAATGAACATAGAAGCTGACAGGGAGTGTTCCTTTTTATGGGAACATTTCCCGATCGAACGGTTCCAGGCTGTTCACTGGGAGAATTTGCTTTGTCGGCTGTGAGCTGAGGAGATTGGGATGTCATGGATTGCTTTCCAGACCTGAAATGACAAATCAAAACTTAGCCAAAGTACTCGGTTGACGTTGGAAGGGGGGCAAACATTTCAATTTTAGCAGTTAAGTGGGGATTTCAACCATAAGCAGGCAAAACCATGATTTGCACTGGACAGTAATTAGCAGTGCCTGAAAAGTGCCCGAATCTGGGAGCAATTCTGTGCAGCGCCACTTTGGGGCAGATTGCTTTTCTCTGGGAGCTGTGCGTGCGTGCTTGGACGACGGTGCCCCCTTTGACCGCAGACTGACTGTTGCTAAGAAAAGTAAGCAAGACCACAATTTCTGACGGGGAAGTGGCATTGCTGCCGGTGCGATCAAGAATGTAGGCCGTTGGGGCATTTGCATGGATCTGGCATACGACTGCCTCAAAAGCAAACATGTATACACTCGAACAAGCCATCTGATGCCTTCTTTGCCATCTGTAGCCATTGCAAAGGCTGTGCAAAAAGCACGATTAATGCTTTGTGTGAAGCCGTTTGAGTCTTCAGCTCTCCAAACATGATGAAGGCAAAGATATGGGTGCGGGTCAGAATTTAAGAGCCGGGGCAGGATTTAGTCTGCTTTTCCATCTGCCAAAGTTGCATGTTAGAAACCCTGTTTTTTAGCCACGATCCACTCTGCTGAGCCGTCTGCTGATCATCACGCACTCATTCTGATCCCTCTGGGAGGCCGGCAAAACGAATCAAGTCCCCACTAGATCGAAATCATGAGGGATCCCTCTGGCTCTACATGAATTTCCATAGGGAAACCATGAGAATTGTATAAACAGGCCTCCCTCCCCATCATCGATGTGGGCGTCCTTCCTGTTGTGGGTTGGACATCGAATCAAATCCAAGCTCCACGCGAGCACGTGAACTGTGGCCGCGCCAGTGACTCTGCACCCGCATGCTGGCACGAAGCTGTGCCCGCCTGGCGAATCCGAGTGCTGCGTCTGGCTGATGTCAACCTTCCAGTAGTGCGTTTGCCTCCTGGGAAAAAACAAAAGTAGTTCCAGTAGTGATATATATATATATAGGTTCTCTTTAAAACCAAAGAAGGTTTATCAACACAAATCTTAAGCAAATGGAAGCAACGAAGGTTCTCGAATTAGCAGACCCGGGTGCGGGTTCTTTTTCAGGAGTCAAAAAGGGAAGCCGACCATTTTTCGGGGACCCCGATTTGAGAAACACCCAAATGGGAGAAAATGTATGCACCAGAAAGGTCTCTGAGATCCATTTAGTTCCTTTATGCAGGTCTCCCAACAGTGGCTTTCCAACAGCCAAAATCGTCAGCCCGAACCACTTCAAACGCTATACAAACCAATACCAAAGCAAAATGATCAGTAAGCCAATCTTCTGCAAAGCAAACGCAACACCGTATTCCAGAATTCAAGCCTGCGTTCTGCTCTTGACAGTTATTGCTTTGCAGCGATTCTTCTTCGGCCCTGAACGGGGAGACCTTGCAACTCGAAGGAGCAAGGAACCAGCGACGACAAGGGGCCCGAACCACGGAACCCTGAGAACCAAGAGCAATCTGCATGTTGGCAACGTCACATCATGTTTATTTTTGTGCGGTCGTACTTATCCAATGAACACGTGTTTGTTTGTTGTTTGAATCGTATCATACGGCAGTGTTTTGCCTGACCAAGCAAGCCCTCAACGCCCAAGCCACACGAGCCGAACATCTCCGATCTGAACCGGCAACAACCAGTGACTTTCGCCGGCACCAAAACCAACGACCGCTTTTGCCAATGTTCAAGGCCCCAATGTTTGTTGGCCGGTTTTGCTTTGATGTTTTTTGCTTCGCCCTTCTTTTGATGTTTTGATGTGGACGCGGTGCATCCGTTTCCAGGGCACAGGGCAAGAACCCCTTGGAGCCGCGAAGAAGAAGCCCCAATGCCCAAAGCGCATTCGACTTCCGGGGTTGAGAAAAAGCCGGTTCCCTTCGCGACCCCGTCCCCAGTTGCCATGGCTCACATAACCCCTGCCGCAGTCATTGCCAAGACCGATGACTCTTGACCCCAGAGGTGTACTCCTAAACTCCATCTGTTCGGATTCGGTTTGATGCTTTCCTAAGATACAAAGTTTTTGGAGACTCCGGGATTGGGGATTGGCCATTCCTCGGCAGTGTCTCAAAATGAGGTTAAAAAGGGTACCCTCTCGAAAAGCACGAACCCACATGTTTCTGAGACCGGAAACACAAACACACAAACAACCAATCAAAAAACGAAACAAACGACTAAAAAAAAGCTTACATAACAAAACAAACACCCGAGGTTGAGGTCCAGCCTCTGCCGGAGCTCCCGCGTGATCTCCGTGGCCCGATGCCGGCGCCAGGTCGTTTGGATCTCGGGACCCGATGCGCGGAAATGTTGAAGGAACTCCTCTCTACGCTTGGTATGGTAGCAACAAACAGACTGTTTTTTGCAGACCCCAAGTAAAAGTGAACAGAACCTTTAAAAAACAAAAACTGCCAAGAACAGTTGAAGGAACCTACTTGGAAGTTGGTAAGTGATAAGCCACGTGGGGTTTGACTCCCTAACAAGCTTAACCCCATTGAGGGGAATGCAAGTGGGTTATAACCCAGGCTACACCAACTTCACTCAGGTCTGTCTTTTTGTTGGGCACTCCCTTTCGCTTGGTGAAAACGGGGAAAGATAAACCTATTTTTGGGGCTCCCTCATGGGACAGCCTCGGTTGTAAGAGGGTTTTCTCGAGGGCTATTTGTGGGGGGCCCTGGAGTCGTGACAGAAACTGAAGGCTGGAAGGCCGGTCTCACAGGGATGGCTGAGTATTCCTGCAAGATACAAACCCTTCAGCGCGAGAATCCAATGTGGTTCTTTCCGAGCTGCGCGGTTGGACAGGGTTTCACTTAATGCTTCAAACGTGAGCTACTGGACGCTGCAAAGTACAGCGGCAAACACTGCAAACGTGCGCCAGCCACAACCACCTCTTCAGCAGAGCTCAAGGCGATGATGCCAATGTGACGGAGTTGCTGCGAAAACTGGGCTGTTCAACCTGGGGCGGGATCTGTAACGCGCAATCCGTACTGGGAAACCATTGCAAGGGCAACCACTGCCATCTTGCATCAATCTTGGGTATTGATGGTGACCAGTCCAACTAGCTTCATGATTTTACGTCACCACCCCAGTGAACGCCAGCTGACGTTTACAAGGCCCAGAAACTGCCAAAAATGCTGAACCCCCATTATTCTAGCAGGATCAAAGTCACCCAAGTGGTAGGGATAAAGGGACACCAACCAGTTTCCGACTTCGAACCCCCCAACAAAGGGTCAAAATCCTGCCAGAAACGGGTGTGTCTCAGAATCGGGGACCCCCCTAAACCGGCTGCGGTTTTCCCTTTGGTTTGCCGGTTCAAGCCACAAAAACAACGAGTCACGAATCCCTCCGCCCCAGGAATCCCTCCGCCGCCCGCAGAACCAAAATCCCAAGTCTCGGGCCCATTGGGCAGCAGCGCTGCGCATCATCTTCCCTTCCCTCAGCCTCAAGGAATTCGGCGAATCCGCCGACGATGAGACCAGATGGGACCGGGGGAAACAAAAACACACACACACACACACACACAAAACCGGTGGCGCAACTATCTTTCGCACAACTGCCTAAGAAACCCTGGAATGATTTGAGTCCCCTGCAAATACCCATGTTGTTGTTTCAAACATGGTTTCAAATTGATGCAGGATCCAGACAATTGGCATAGCTGGGGTTGGGCATATGCCAAAGTTCATCATACTGTGGACGCGAATCCATTATCTTAGGCACCACCGAAATCAGAAACCATGGTTTCTGAGTCGATTCCCCAACGTAAATACCAACAAATGTTATGGTTTCAACCATGGTTTCTAAGTGATGCGAACGGATTTGTCCATGCACAGAATGGTGTTCAATGACAACCCAGCGTTGATAGACCCTGCCTGACAAATTGGGTAACCCATTTAAGAGGGGATCCTTCAATTTTGAGAAACACAACTATGAAATACACCATGATGATGAATCCAATGTCGATATGGCGCTGGGCAAACTACTCGAATTCACAAACCGCAGATAAGGAAGCCCCAATCAATGGACCCTTCATCCTAGGTCAGCCTCTTTCAACTAAAGCAACACAACTCTCACATCAAATATGATGGCTGATGTTTGTGAGGGCAGTAAATAGCGCCATGGACAAAGCTTCCTGTGTCCATTCGGCATCTTGGCCAGGTTTATCTGTGGAAATTCCTTTCCCAGCGTCCACTTCCCGCAATGAGATCTGCGGTAAGCGCCGGGCTCTTGCTTGGCCTTGACGCCCCGAACCATGGACTGCAGCCGGCTGGCAGCCTGACATCAACAAAAGCCTTCAATGTAGGTGAATTCTAATATTTCACCAACCTGACATAAGGTGGTTGTGGGGCTATTCCCCACATAAACCACCATTTGGGGTGAACTCGGTCGTGTGAATTCGTTCGTTATAATTCACCCAGCTTCAATATCCTTCAATGCTTGGGTTGATTGGCCTACGGATTGGTGGAGCTGAAGCCTTTGCTTGCTCGGGGTTGACACGAGCTACAAGTATGGAGCTGCTATCCTGTGCCACTGGGTCTCTGAAATGGTCAGATCTGTGGCGTCTGCCGAGAGTTTTACAAAGGCCGGCCGCTAGAAACACGAAGCGCAGCACACATCAAGGTTGATTGGTCTTGGAAAGGGACGACATGGCCTGCTTAATTATTGCATCCATCTTGAAGCCAGGCCTGAAGGCCTGAAGGCAGGCCAAAGATAAACAAGGAAACCGGTATGCCAAAAGCATCCAAGTCTTTGGTACCCCTCCGAAAATGAAGGCATGAATCACATGCATTTGGGCTCATGGCAGGCTCCACCCTCGTAGCAATTGAATTAGTAGCCTTCATGTCGGTGACGAGCCGTGGAAGCATGGGCAAAGTTTCCAAGCTGCGTGAACATTTAATTGCTTCAGCAGCAAACCTCGAAAGCTCTGCGCTCAGCACCCAGGTATGCAAAATAGAACGCGAGCGAGGCCTGGCAATGAATGCCCGTCTAGTTAAACCAACGCTAGCTGAGATCACAGCTCGGGGGCTACATGATACGATTTCTGAAGACTGAAGTCACTGGGAAGTACAGCGAGGGGGGGGCAAGTGTGAGCTGGGATGAATCAACCATTTGCCTCACCCCAGGATTGGCCCCAATCACTGGCCGCATTTCCGGAACATGATATGCTGGCATGCTTGCCTCATCCCAACGGATTGCCAGAATTTCCACGTCAGCATGCAGTCGACCAAGCTCCCACTTTTGGCCAAGAGCCATCATGCGGGGCTCACATGTTTGCACTCTTCTTGGTGCAAAAAATGGAGGGACAATCTGTCTTGCCGCTTGGAGAGCTTGTATAAAGGTCAAGCGGACCTTGGATCCTGCCTGTTGAATCAGGCTTGCCTCCACTGTCGAGCTACAGTTAAAGCACGTTGCAAGAGTGAACCCTCTCGCAACGGGGAAATATGTACAAGCCACATGTGTTGGCTCATTCTTCGGCTTGGTTGATGCCAATCGCAAGACATCACCTAGATCTACTACTCTTTCCACACCCAAGGCAAAACATGTTTCCTTTCCCCTTTCAAAGAGCAGTGCTTGCACTGCAACTCAGGGGCCTTCTTGAGTCAAAACGCTCAACGATAATACACCTCGACGTCAAAACGCTGCACTTTGCCTCTAGGCTGGCAAACTGCGCTCGCCCTTTTCGAGCGTGGAAGTAGGGAACGCGTTGCGATGCGTTGCGTTCGCCAAGGTTGCGTGCCAAGATTTTGCCCGAACAAGGCCGCACTCACTCTACCCAGGGTGGACCAAGTACAGGTCAGGATGGTCAGGTTATCCGTCAGGTTGATAAGTTGCATGCATATATACACATATAGTATAATATTTGCATATATATATATATATTATACATCTTATTAATATATGTGTGTGTGCTGAAGCTGGGATCCCCTGTTTGGTTGCCTGGGCAATTCGCCGCCTCTCACTCGGAGTCAACCTCTCCTTGGGCAGCAGAGACGCTTCGCCAGGCGTCGCAGCCATGCGGCGCCGGAGATGCGAGCGCCGCGGCTCGTCTTGACCTGCTAAGTCGTTATAAAAACCTGGAAAACAAACAGGGGAAAAGCATCATTGTCTCTGAACCGGTGGTTGTCAAGGGCTGATTTTTTAGGGGCCGATTCCCCAATCCCAATAGCGATCTAAGCAACTCGTAAGCCCGATTAGGGGCGGTGTTCCTTGTTTCGGGGGTCCCTGCTTCGGGGGGCCCTGACAATGAGAGTAAGTTGATATCAGAACCGATCGGGGTTAAACTGCTTGCTGGTGCTCAGCAGGGAATGAGGGAATGAACATGGGGATTTCCCTTAAAGGAAACCAAATCGGCGATCTAATTGTAGGGCTCATTCCATTTCTCATTCCCTGCATCTCTCGCAGCAAGAATGCTTGCTAACCCAGAACCATGCGTAACAAAAACGCAACGAAGCTTCCCGTTTATGGTTGGGATTCTCGCGAAAGCTTCAGGGGTTGCGCACTGACCGCCAGCTTGGGCAACCAAGTCTTGGGTGACGGCGGGCAAGCCGGCCGCGGGCCTCTTGCTGGCGGGTTTCTCGTACTGAAGGCCACTACCCGAGGAAAAAACAAACAGAAGGGGGAAAAAAACAGACGCATGCAACACATATATATATAACACATATGTTTTCTATATATTAATAATGTACATACATAAATGTACATATATATATATGCTTACCTCACACATGGAGATGTGGATGCCGAGGTACAACGACTCCCGGATTGTGTGGGATGTGGTCATGGTCAATGACGACCCCTACCAACCGCAAGCAACAGGAACAACTGACCATAGCGCATATTTAGAGAACCTGGGTTGGTCTGGGCGAAGATGTCCAGCCGCTTCTGTATTTTCATCAAAGGAAACGCGTACCCGGCCCGAAACAAATTGGAACCCAGCCTCCAGTCAATGTGCATCAATCCGGAACTAGGGGGGAATCTGCCCATGAAACCGCCACCATGGTGGGGGATGTATTTCGGAATTGTGTGAAAGGAAGCCCAAAGGAAACTAATCACATGTCAAATGGAGGGGGTCGGGACAATAAAAAACAAAGCTATTCGCTTGTGGTTTCATTTGAGGGTATTTAACATGGGCTCTTTTGCCACCGGAATGGGGCCCCAACTCTGAGATCTCCCCTGTCAATCCACTTGCCCAGTTGCGCAAAAAGAAACGGCATTCAGTCAACCTAAAATTTCAGGAAGTAGGCACAATGTTGACACCATCAGCTTCCATTGCTTGTTAGGTATTTACAAACGGAATCATCATTCTTGGGATTCCCGGGTTTGTTACACTCCCCCAGATTAACATGGAAGCTCCCAGAAGGCCTGTGTAAATGGACCAAGTCTTCCGTTTCGGGGTCCTGGGAGCTTCCATGAATTCGTCTGGGGTTTGTTCGGTGCGAAATGGCATTCGTCCATCCTTGGTTAACGTTGGAAGGGGAGCACAAATTTGAATTTCAGCAGTTAAGTGGGGATTTCCCACGAAACCACAAAAAGCAAGAATGTAAATAAAATGCTTCCCAACAACAACCATGTCGACAAATTGTTGCCCCCGGCACCGCCGGCACCCCATGCCTCTTGCCGGCGCTCGACGAAGCCCACGGCCAAAGGCGCACCATAGGGAAGCTCTTCGAGCCACACCTCGCTCAGCACAAAGGAGGACCTGCGGATGGGCCTTTTGCTTCGCCGGCTTGTTTGGTGGGTTTATGTCTGGGCTGTCCGTTTTTGGATCCCCCTTTAAATGGAAATCCCCACTAAACACTAAACAATACTGAAAAGCTAAAAAGCTAAGGGGATGGCTGGGAACCACCAAGATGTGTTGGGTTTAAGGGGTGGTCACAAAGTGCTTGATACATGGAAAATGATCAAAAGGTCCCTGATACATGGTATGACATAGGAAAAGTTACCCGTGGTCAAAACTGGGTGCCGAAGGAAAATATTGATCAACTTTCATGTGTCCAGACGAGACCCAACTCGGATAACCTGACTCGGATGTTTTAACTCACTCCAGTGGATGGGTCAGAAAAGCTCCTGAAACTTTTGGATCGCCAAACGGTCCAAACCCAAAATGTGACTAAGTCCAGGAACTCAGGGAGAGTGTGTGTGTGGGTGTGTGCTTTTGTTTAAATCCTTTAACCCATTAGGTGGTCGTGCAGTTGTCTCTCACACACACACACATATGCATAGATGCTCATGGCAAAATGATCAGGGAAACGCACAAGTCCCCAAATGAACATTATGGTTTTGACTAAAGGACATCAGTCAAGGAAATGCGCCGTGCGCAGAATGGAGCCCAAATGAAATGGGCCGGAAAGGTAATTTCGTCCAGACAACCGTCTCCCACAGACAAAAGGCCCAAACGAACTGCCAAAACGGCGATCGCTGGTGGCTGCTCTGTAGAAGCAAGCATTTTAGCTTGAAATGACCCGGAGGGTCCTTTGGTACCTCCTGAGGATGGCTTTTGGGGGGTAAAAAGCGGTCGTTCAGTACTTCCTTAGAAGGTACCAAGGGACCCTCTGGGTGAGTGCGTGTGTCCTTCATGGGCGACATGAGGTTGTACGTGCTTCGCAATGTTTCAACCCGAGAGCCAAAGCATTTCCAGGCAGGGCCCCTGCTGACACAAGACTGTCTGCGTCCCTCAACTCTATTGGGGAACTGCCCCCATTTTCGCCTCCGCCCGTGTCGGGTTCAAAATGAGGAATCCTCTCGAATGAGGTTCCCGATTCTGACACATTTGAAAAGGCACATGAAAAATGCAACATGCGCAAACCCCTCCAATCGTTATCTTGCTACCAACCACTACACAAGGGCTCCCCACGTTGATGCAAACCACAGGTGAGTTCGCGGGATAAAGCATTCATAAGTTGAGCGGTGTCGGGATCTTTGCAGGAGTTTCCTTGAGATCATCCCTCAAGCACGCAATGGGAGCGTGTGGGCAAAAACTAGATCCTTGCTGGAACACGACCCAAGGGGATATAGGAAGCCAATGAACACCTACCTTCCGCTCAGGCCACTACTATCGTTGAGAAAGTGAGGCTTCAGCTCGGAAAGCCGAACAGAAACTAAGTTGCATACTGGCACCACTATTTTACCACTGTCAAAGTCAGCCACCAAGTGGTAGGTTTAAAAAAAAAAAAACTTACAAAAAAAAAACCTGACTTTGATACCCCCAAGAAGCAGTCAAGATAGTGACCCCAGTTACCGCATCCAATCGCGAGCTCTCGGAACTCTCCGTCGCGTTTCTTGCCACGAGCGCTTGGCCACCACGAAGACGTCGTAGGTGCCGTTGTGGTTCACCGACAGATCCCGAACCTGCAGGCTGAGGCCAAGAGGGAGCCAGAAAACACTGGAGCCCCCCAAGTGCAGAAAAAATGGGCTCCGATGAACAGGCGTCACTGGATTGCGCTAAGTCCAAAGTTGATGAATTTTACCGGGTTTCCCTCGAAACGATCACTTTTTGGAGGTTTCAAAACTGCCACATGGGTGTGGGTCAAGAATCGGTACCTAAAATAGAACCCTGGTAAATGGAAACATGGACAAAGACCTGCGGTCCAATTCCTGGTGGTTTAATTTTGACCCATACCCACATTTTGAGGAGACCCCTCACCCCGAACCTCGCAGAGCACCCCCTCCACCCCCTCGCGTGCGCGGCCGCCAGTCACAAAGCCGAAGACGTGGGGTGGGGAGGTGGCGAAGAGCCGACGGCACATCCATCTGTACCTGCAGATGCAAGGCTTCGCTTTCAAGGACCTGGACAAGGTTACCCTTGTGAACCCATGACTAAAAGTGAACCAAGGGAAAACCAAAAGCTGAAAAAATAGCCATGGGCGACTGAGGCAAGGCTTGGGTTTCTTCTTTCAAAGGGAACCCAGGATGAAGCTCTTTCTAACCAGCATCGTGATGTCAGTTCTGCATTTGGTAACTGTACAAACAATTGATTTCGTTGGGACACTAACAGCCCCCCGCCTTCAACGCTAATCAATTTACTGGTGGCATCCAACGCCGAAAACGCCACGGAAAACTGAGGAACCTTTGGTTTTGTTCGTATCCGCAATTTTGACCATTCCAAAATACGAGGATCTTTTTTAAGCAAAGGACCTTCATGGATGTTCGCTCGTTTTACCACTTTTACCCCGTAACCTCAGCGCCCCCCTCCCCCCCAGGTAGGCAGAGGTCTCCGTCTCGAGCGAGTTCGCGCGCCGTCCGCGCCTGGGCTCGAAGAAGTGCAGTGGCATGCCGCTGCCCACCGGCAGGCTGCAGCCCATCACGAAGAGCATGAAGGGTCCTCACAGCCCGACCACAGCTCGCTGGTAGAGGAACTAAGCTAGGTGGACTTGCAACCCATGTACTCGCATTCGCATGGGTCAGCGAAAGGGTTGGTTCCCACCATGGTGATAGACAACATTTAAATCAAGTGAGTCACAAGTACAAAAATGGTCGACCCAGAACCATGCTTCAAAAGAATAAGGCGGATATCCGCAGCTATTTTTGGCTGGGATCGTCACTTACTAACCTTCACTTACCCGGGTCTCCATTGTGGCTCAGGTGCACTTACAACCAATGTACGCCCACTTGTCATTGTAGCTTTGGTTGGCATTGGCAAACTTACAACCACGGCTTTTGTGGGTTGTTTCCATGGCTAAGCATGTACTCGGCTCCCTAGCCCTTTAGGCGAGTGCTGTGCAAAACTGGCACCAGGACATCCGATGGTGGTCTACCCTTGGAACTCGGAATCCTTCGGGCTTCAGGCGGGCGCATTTCGGGAACTTTTGATTGTGGGACTAAATGTCTGTGCCGGGAGTCTCTCGTGAGTGGGCTTAGGCCTGCCCGTTTCAACTGCGACCCTCAATGAAAGCCCCAACCTGGAAGCATGATGGCCAACTAGACCACCTAGGTCCTCCAGTAGAGAGGTTAGAATAAGGGTACCTTTTCCTTTTTTCTCTGTAGTTTATTTTAGTAGGAAAACCCTGCCCCCCAAAAAGAAATGGATAAAAGGACACTACTAGGACCTAGACCAACTTTCCAGAGACTCGAAACGTTCCTCGAAACGTCCAGGTCGCGGCCTTCCACTTTAACCATTCCGTGGATGGTTGCGAAATCCGCTTCTCGCACCACTTTAAAACCATGGTTGAAACCATAACGTTTGTTGGTAGTTACAGGGGAATCATGATTCCAGGGTTTCTTAGGTGGTGCGAAATGGATTTCGTCCATCCACAGTATAACCTTTCCCATGGTTTCAAAGTGGTGCAGCATTTCGTCCATCCACAGTATAACCGCCCGAAACGGGTTCAACCCAAATATTTCAAGGCACTCTTTCTCCGCTTCTTATTCTTTCAAACAGCAACTGCTCCCGCCATAAGACCAGGAAACTAACATAAGCGGGCTGAGGGTAGCGGCCACGAGTGGGGAAACCACCAAAAAGCCGGGATGTGGAGGGCCGCGCAATCCTCTGACTAAGAGCCAAACTGTCTGCACGACAAGAGCATGCCTGTGAGCATGATCCAAGCCTAACAACGCCGCGTCAAAAGAATAAGACTTTCAACAACAAGTTGCCTGGCATGCAAGGAAATACCTGGTAAAAGCACTCCAAGCTGAACAACGCCACGTCCAAAAACGAAGCTTTCAGAAACAAGCTGGCTGCTCCTTACCATGCCGAGCTGACTCGTAAAAAGGAAGCGCTTGCAAGCAGGCGTGCCAAGCCCAACAGCAACATGTCAGAAAGAACAACTTCTTGCTTCAACCTGTCTGCGAGGAAGTAGCAAACAAAACTTCCTGGTTCACTGTGGGAACCTGCTAAGGAAACAACTTAGTTCAGCTTGCCTGCCGGGCGTACCGCTAAACAACTTTTTGGCTGAAATTGTCAAAGGGGAGCAGCTAGGGGAATCTCTTGGTTCAACCTGTCTTCCGGGCAAATCGCAAGGACACTTTTAGCTTTGCTTGTCTGCTCGGAGGATTGTCAAGACATTTCTTGCCTCAACTTACCTGCCGCGAAAGGCTAAGGATAATTCGGGATTGTGTTGAACCTACAAGATCAAATTATAGCAAAAGTGGCAAGCCACCAATTGAGCAGCAAGATTGGTAACCGTCTTCGGCGGGGGTTAGAAGTAAAAACATTCTCACGGCGATCCTCTTGGCATCCCGGAAAGTGGCCCAACAAAACCACAAACACCACGGCTACCCTCCCGCAACCATCGATGTTCGACCATTTGTTCGACACTTTCGGGCCCATTTTCCATGTTGCGCCCTGTTTGGATGGCTTGGTAAATCTTAGAAAGAAACAAAACACATATATTGTTTTCAATAATGAGTTTCTAAAATCTACATGTAAAATAATATGTCAAATTGATTGTCAAAGCAATTCGTATCTGAAGGTCTGTTGTGTGCTCTTTAACCAACAAAAAACGGGATTTTTGGGCCTTCCCCTTGCAGCGACATCTGGAGCTGCGGGCAGCGCTGCTCCAGGCGCTGCTGCAGCGCCCGGCGCTTCGGGAAGGCCGGCAGCACCGCCTCCCGCGCCAGGGCCCAGCTGCCTGCGCCAGCGACTCGCGACTCGCGCGCGAGGCCCAGGGGTTTCGGTGGCTTCGTGGTACCCCAAAACGGCGGTTGCGAAGAATGGGGAAACCCTTAGTACAGAATGGAGCACAAAGAATCAATACCTCCCGGAGTGAATACAAAGATTTCCCTCCACGACTAGAGTTGTTGACTGTGCCCCCACTTTTGGGCCAACTTGAAGGGATGCAAATACCTCACGACTCTGGAGCCTCCTCTTTGGGTGACTGTTGAGGGCAACTTGAAGGGGCATGGTTGTTTGTTTACTCGCCATGGCCAATCTTTTTTCGAGGCTGTGGGGGCAAATTGATGCCTGGTTTGACTCACTGTCTACTGATAAGGCTGCAGGTCCTGCAGTAGAGGGGTTAGAATAAGGGTACCAACTTTTTTTGTGTAGTCTATTTGAGTAGGGGAGCCCTCCCCCAAGAAAGGGTAAAAGGGCACTAATTACGGGGAGACCTAGACGTTGACCCCCTTTTTGGACCCGTAATCACTGCTCCCTTGTGACTTGTCCCCGTCGGGGATATTTTCAGGCAGTGCGAAGAACCGCAAACACATGTGGCAAAGGCCAGAGTTCCTTGAGGCAGGGGCCCGCAAGAAGCCTGTTTGGCGCTCAGACACACAGAGACGCTGCTCACTTACATCAACATGGGACTAGGATGGTCCTGTGTGGTGGGGCGGACCACCCCCCCCCCTCTCAAAAAGCAAGCGGATACAGTAAGCGTACAACGCACTTCCTGACTGGATCGGCCAAAAAAGTCAGAACTTTGTATTTACAACCAAGATGTTCGTCCCAAACAAAGCGACAGGTCCATGAAATAAGGGAGTGAGACAAGGCAACAAGCCTTGGTTGCTGTTGACCCCACTGAAACTAGCTTCAAACTTGGCGGGGCGGTCGCCATTTTTCGTGCCAACGTGTGGAGAAACGCACAAACGAGGATACGGAGGGAGCGGGGAAATGGGGGGGATTCCCTTGGCGCCATTTCCAACATCAAGCTTAGCCAAGCTGCATCATTTAGGGGGACCCCCTGTCTCCCTGCGAGTTGGCTTCCCTGACACATAGCCATGGGTCAAAATCCCAATCGTACCCCCGGTGAACATCCCAATCCAACCACTAAAATTGGTTCTAACATGGGTTGTGAATTCACCTACCAACCAAAATGGGATCCCAAAACGGTTTTGACCCACTTTCCCTGACACATGGGTGTGGCTCAAAAATAAAGACTCGGGGTTACGCAGGTTTTTGTCTACTTTTCCATGTACCAGGGTTCCATTTCATGGTTGCTCTTGACCCCCCTGCAAAAAGCCTTACTTTTTTGGGGGTTTCGTGGAAACCACCTTGATTTCAACCAATTTCAACCAAAAAGTTAAAGACAAAAAGATCCGTTGCCCACTAGCAGTCCAGATTTCGGGCCCCGATTTTTGACCACAGCCACACGGAGTTCACGCTCCGCGAGCTCCGCGCCTGCGAGGTCCAGCAGGTTCCGCAGCTCCGCGGTGCGCGGGATGCGGATGGTGGTGTGCTGCCAGGCCCCCGGGCACCGCACGGCGACGCTCAGGGCTTTGTCCAGGGCGGCCTCGGTTCGATCGGAGTTTGGGATTCCACTTGGGGGGGTGTTCGGATATTTTTCAGCCAATACCGTGGATGGTTGCGAAATCCATTTCGCATCACGAGTTGAAACCATGGTTGAAACCATTCTTTGTTGGTATTTACGGGGGAATCATCATTTGAGGGTTTCTTGGGTGGTGCAGAATTTCGTCCACCCACAGTAGCAAGGTGAACCCCACTGAACGGGGGACTAAGTGTGGGTCATAACCTAGGTTACCAACAACTTACTAGCCTGGCCGAGTTTTCATTGAACATGATCGAGGGATCCTCTTGACGGTGCTCAAAGGTCGTAAAGGAAACCATTTCTTCTCTGGGCCCATCTGGTTGGACACCACATTTTGCTCAAGTCTTCAAACCGGCCACACAACAATCAGTTGGCACTTCCCTGGATCAGGGATTCCTGTGGTCCTGACATCCGACTCCTATGGTGGGATCCCCCAAGTTTGGGGGCACGAAAAGGATCCGATCGACTCAGGCGACGTGCAAGGGCGACTTTTTGGCTCGAGGGATTGGGTGTGTCACCACAGGAAAAGCATGTTTTGCAGCATTGCCCCAGCCCGAAAAAGTAATGCACCTGGGTGAACTTGCTCACCCGGAGACCGACTCGGTCTCCAATCAAGGGATTTGCGGCGGTGCCCTGCAGTTAAATAACACAGGTGTGGAGTCAAAGGCGCACGTTCGAACAATCATGTTCGACTGCTAGCCAGCGAAGCCTCATTGACCCCAGCTGAGGGCACTGGATGTTGTTTTTTCTCCAAAAGCTCCAAGTGTGACTAGTGGTTCTTCATTGCAACCGCCACTTTTGGAGGTTCCAGAAAGGGATTTGGCTCGGACACCCACCAAATCCGCAACAATTACCGCGCCTGAAGCTTGCAAGTATGGGAGACGCTTTGGGGCCCAAACCTGCCATTGGGTGTTGGTTGCATGCGATCTCTGGGAATCAAGCCACCAGCATGCCGCCAATGCCGGAAACGGCTCAAGTGCTTTGTCAAACTCTGGCAGTTGTTGCAAAAGCGGGGCATGTCCAGCATGGGCCTTGAAAAGGTCGTGATTTGTTGGACCTACGCCTTGTGTGGCAGCAGTGCGACACGAGACTGTCAGTGCCCACGGCTGGGTCTGTTTCTGTTGGCCTCATTATATTTTACCATGATCAAAGTCACCCCCGTGGTGGGTTAAAGAGACAAAAACCACATTTTCCGATTTTGATAACCCCCAGAAACCGTCAAAGTAATGACCCAGTCATATGGGCGGCCTTCCAAGCCGATGCTCAGCACGCCAAATTTCGTGAGTGCTGGGTTTGAGATAGTTCCCGGGAAATGGGTGGCTACAATTGGGGCCCATGTGCGAAGTGATTGCTACTCACTCAAGCCAAGAATTGTGGGTGCGTCCTTTTTGAGGGTACTAGTACTTTTTTCGTGGGGTGGATTTTAAGCGGAACGACAGGAAAACCACCCTGTTTGTTTTTTGGAGGGGGGGGGAGTCACATAAAAAAGGACACGCGCATGCAGACCTTTTCGAAAGGACACGCGCATGCAGACCTTTTCGAGGTGCCATGGCCGCATAGCACGCGAGGTCGCCCAGCAGAAAGCTGAGGATCAAATGACGCTCATCGTCGCTGACCAGGGACAAGAGCTTGCCTCAAGTTTCTGTCTGCGATCCCTGGGATAAAATGACCCAGGCAATGAACCCGTCTTGGGGATTTTGTCGGAAACCAGAAAGGAATGGTTGATAGGCCTCATTCTTTCCAAGGGGATGGGGGTGGCTCAGTTTGTTTCGCTTGGGCAAAGCGTGGGTTTTCGTCTTTTCCATTCTCCTTTTGGTGCCATGTTGATGTCCATGAGCCACGTTGGGATTCTTATTGGGTCCCGGACCCTTTGGTGGGTATTTGGGGGAGGCGTCTCCACCACTTTTTTGAGGTGGCTCCTGATTGACATTCATTCGTATAGTATAGCCGTTTGAGTAGCACGTCTACTTGAGCCACGGTCAAGATGAATTGCTTCAGGGGTAGACGTGGGCATAATAACTGCTTCACTTCATGGTTCTGACAAAGGCCTTCAAACCTGCAGTCCTTAAAAGGGTGCGCCAAATAGCTCAGCGCATTGGCGGTGCCAACGCACTGTTGTATCCTTCAACAGCCTCAATTGTAGGTCCACTCGCCACCACCACAACCATTACCATTACCATTACCATTACCACCACCACCACCACCACCACCACCACCACCACCACCACCACCGTCGCCACCACCGCCACCGCCACGACCACCACCATTACCATTACCATTACCACCACCGCCAGTACCTTCCAATGCCTCAGATTCAAACCATGCAGGGCTGAAGTCAGACAATGACTTTGTTTCTGGGAATCTTCTGTCGAGTTGTTGCTCGCTGGCTTTCCAATTTCCGGCGGATGCAAGCGCCTCGGGCTGCTCGCTCCCGCGATCCGCGCAACAGCTCGCTGCAGGATTGCATCAGTCGGAAGCGGCCAGCCGGAAGCGCAGGCCAAGGCCGGGCGCCATGCGGCCACTTGGCAACTTGAGCCAAGCCGAAAGTGGAAAGTGTCCTCGCACTCTGTCGGCTGCCGCTCGATTTGGGTGTCTCAAAAGTAGAACACTGGGGGAACCCAAAAATGGTGGTTTTCACATGTTTGCAAAATGTATCTTTTCAAGAGCCGTGGGCAAGCTCCCTTTTTGTACTGGTAGTTCAGCTGCTAATCCGACTCTGTATCCATTGCGTATCAAGATCCCAACAGCAAGCTGCTCAATGAACTGACTGGCTTCATGCAAGCAGCTAAATGGGCTCCAGGCACGGACCTCAACAATCAGAATAATCTGGGTGAACACTAGTACCAATAATGATTCACCCAAGATCACGGACCCAGGAAAGAGCACTTCAGCAAAAATGTCACCACAGCAAACTCATGGACCCAGGAATGAAACCTTCAGCCAAAATGACGAGTAACAATGATGATTCACCAGCTGAAATGGCTGTGGGTCAAAACCCATGGTACCAATTTGGGGCAGGTGCACCACCCGTTTTAGCCTATTTTAGTGGTTGGATTGGGATGTTCACTGGGGGGTAACCGGGATTTTGACCCATTGCCAAATCATGAACTCATGAAACCTTCAGCACTGAGATCGCCCCAAGGTGACTCCGCTCACTGCCTCGCCTGCGCCCGGCCGTCCCGCCACTCGCGCAGCGTCTCTGCCAGTTGCAGGCGGCAGCGGTGCGCTCGCCACAAGGCCTGGCTAAAGGAGGGCGTTGAGAACCCAGCAAACGAGAAATGCCCACATGAAACCCCTTAGTTGGTTGGTACGTGAAACCCCCCAATGATGTCCACTCAGATGCCCAGTGGATTTCCATGGGAAAAAAACGCATCGGCATCCTTTTTTGGTTGACTGTAAAGGACTCGGAACCCTTCAAAACGAAAAGTGGAAAACAGGAAGCAACCCACTGGGCAACTGGGGAAAGGAGCCACAGATTCATGGGCAATTTTTGGCTGTTCTTGCAGACAGGACCGAAGAAAACAGTTCGGGGCAGAGAAAACACACTCTTTTTTGGTTGGTTGACTTTAAAGGACTCGGAACCCTTCAAAACGAAAAGTGGAAAACAGGGCACCCCTGGGCAACTGGGGAAAGGAGCCACAGCCAAGATTCATGGGCACCTTACCTTTTTTTGCAGACAGGACGAAACAAACAGGTTCGGGGCAGAAGAAAACATACTCAGGGTAGCCAAAAAAGGGTCCCCAGTACTGACATTTCATTTTGGTGAACAACGCGTATTTCCTGATGGTATTCTTCTCATCCCTGCGCTACAGTAGAGCACAGTAAAGATTGACCGTTGTGTGTGTGTGTGTGCAAGCCGCTAAAACCAAGGATCAACAGGCCACACAGCTGCATTGTGTTGCAGTGTTGGACTGAATCATATGTTGGGTTTGGCAAGACAATGCATAGCAGCCTCTAAGCACTAGCAGTAATGGCGAGGGATTGGAGCAACTGGTAAGGGTGCCCTACACTTGGTGGGGATCCTTTGCATGTGTTCGACGGAACCAAGACAACGGCTGCGCAGGACAAACCCAAAACAACGATACGGGTGCGGCATGTTGTGGCATGTGTCGTCTCAACACCTGCAAAACAGCATCCAGGGGTTGAAGATGTTGCCAAAAACAGCGGTTCCTTGTCATAAGTGACCTTTCGAAGAAATAAAGATGGGTTTGGGGCAACCCATCTAAACCAGTGGAACCCAACTAAACTGGGCTGTCCTCAGATCCCCTAAATGACTAACTTTTAGTGGCTTGAATGGAAACCGATCCAGTAAACCGACCCATTAAAAGGTCAAAAAATCTAAGTTGAGCCGGATGGCAACAAAGTACAGCTACTGTGGGTGGTTGCGAAATCCTACAAACCCCGGTTTCTGATGAGTGCCCTGTGAATACCAACAAATGCTATAGTTTCAACCACGATGCGAACGGATTTTGTCCATCCACAGTATTGCGCACTGCGAGTCACAACCCAAAACATGACCTGTTGAACTGTTGGTGTCCCTGCAAAACCAACAAACAAATGGTTGATGACCTGTTGACATGATTAGAGTTAGGCCCAGTTATAGAATGTATATTTTATTGCTTGCTTCAAGTTGAGTCCCTGGCAAAATGTAAATCGTATCCTAAGTCTACCCCAGACCTGTTGACTATTAATGACCTGTTGGGTGCTGCCACCAAAAACATGGTTGACGACCTGTTGACCTGTTCACTGCTGGTGACCTGTTGGGTGCTTGACCTGTTGGTGTCCCTGCAAAACCACCAACAAAAATGTGTTCCTTGGGTGCCGTCGCTTCTTTTGCCCTGCGCTTCAAAAGAACAAACATAAAAACAAACAAACAAATAGTTGATGACCTGTTGACCTGTTGACTGTTAGTGGCCTGTTGGGTGCCGTCGCTTCTTTTGCCCTGCGCTTCAGTCAACAATTTGCCGCTGCCTGCACCTGTGCGGCCGCCCGGGACCGCCGGTGCTCCGCCGCACGCAAGGTGCACTGGGCCAGGTAGCCTTGGCGCGGTCGGGTCGCTCTTGTTTGTTTTCTTCCACTTGCTTTTTCGCCCCCTGGAAAAAAAAGAAGAAAAAACAAACAATTAATATTTCCAGTGGTGAATCAAAACAATATTTCCAGTAGTGAATCGATACTTCCAAAACGGATGCATTTTTATTGTTTTTACCACAAATCTCCAGTTACGTGAATCGATGGCCGTTAAAACCAACAGGGGCACATGAAAAAAACAACAACTTATAAGCCAATGGAAGTTGGGTTTGGCCCTCCAAAGTTGGAGTCGGCTCGGCCCAGGGAGAACTGCAGCGGGTCAGCATAGAGATCTCAAAGGTTGCCGTCATGCCCCAAGCTCTTTGAAACGCAAAGAAGGAAACCAACCAAAAGCCACAAAAAATCAACAAAAAACAACAACAGCAACAAAAAGGCAAAGGCGGCCATAAAGCAAAGAAAAGAAACACCGGACAAAACACAAAAAGTCAACAACACAACTAAGAGGCAAAGAAACAAAGAAACAAACAAGCAGACAAACAAAAACAAAACAACCTTTGGCCGGGCAACGTCGGCAGCACTTTTGCAGCTGCCGCACGGCGCGGTGCTTGCCGGGGCTCAGCAACAAAAGGCCGTCCCTTCTGGCCTGCCGCATGAGACACCCAAAAGGAGCTCCAAACAAAAAAGGGAACCGGCCGTACTTTTTTCGGGAAACCTTCTGGAGAAACCTCTTTTTTCTGGGGGAAACCTTTGTTGGGGAAACCTTTTCCCAAGTTCCAAAGGAACTCGAATCAGGATCCCCCGGGGAAGGGACGTCGGTAAGTGGCTAGAAATTAACCATGGTTGCAACCCCGTTGTTCAGGGTTGTCCCGCTAAGTAGGTCAGTAGGTTGTGACAATGGCTACTTGCTACTAAGTACCTGGACCTTCAAGCCGGGGATGGATCCGATTCAAACTCTGAGAGCCCATTCTCAGCGGTATATTATAGATCTAGTGGTTGGAGAACATGCTGACACTCGAAACCCAGGTCAAGCACTTTACGGGCAGCAACACGCGGATCGAACCGCTGCGGAAAGGAGCAGCCCTATCAATCAGGAACCCAAACCGGCAGTCGAAGCGTGATTTCCCAAAGATCTCAGAAGATCACATTACGGCAGGTCCTTCCTCGCAGCATTTCCCAACAGCCGCGTCTCCTTGAACCCAAAACACGAGTTGGGTCCGCAGTTGGTGAAAGAACAAATTCAACAAAATCCCCAACCTCCCCTCCAAAGATTGCGCCTCCGACCCAACAACACACCTGCCTAGCCCTCTGTAAAGTTCGGTGTTGAGTATTCTGGTACAGAATGAGGTACCTGGTTGTTTCTGGGGCATTTGGCTTCCATTTGGTTAAGACTCCTGGCAAACATCAAACACGTATTTCCAGTGGTGATAGATTCCCTTTAAAACCAGCGGGAAAATAACAAAAAACTTAACCAAATTCTTAAGCAAATGGAAAAATATGTTACCGAGTATGGCAACACTGAAAAAAAAACGGCTAGTTTAAGCATGTTTGAGCAAGGGGTGGGCCCAACCCTCCCTAAAAAAACCAGGAAAGCACATGGCTCAAAAAGGAAAGGCAAATGGCTGTGGGTCAAAAATAGGTACCCAAAATGGCACCCTGGTAAATGGAAACACTGACTAAAACCTGTGGTGCCCTGGTGATTTAATTTTGACCCATACCCAAATGGAAGGCACCCGCCTCAAAACCCGCCAAGCCGTCCCCCGCGCCTTGCGCCTGGCCAGCTCCCGCTGCGCGCTGTGCGTGCGCTGGGCGCTCTGCAGCCGCAGCGCCGCGGCCTCTCTGAGCGCGGCGTCTTCTGCGCCGAGCTGCAGCAGCAGCGCCTGGCGAAAAAGCCCGAAAACAAAAACCGGGGAGGCTCTGCAAATGCACCTTCCTAGTATGGCTGTGGGTCAAAAATAGGTGCCCAAAATCTTTAAACAAAAACAAACAAAAAAACACAAAAAGAATAACGCAGCAGACTATGCAAATGAGCCTTCCATTTGCTGTTTTCGCCTGGAAAATAAACCGACAGGAGAAAATGAACAGTTTTCTTAAACAAACTGGAAGCCCAAGGAGACTCTGCAAATGAACCTTCCTAATATGCTTTTTCGCCTGGAAAAGCTCTAAAAATGTGTCCAGCAGCAGGAGCAGCCTTTCTTCAAGGGACAGAAACGCAACTGGGTTGTTCCCGGATCCCCTTCTAAAAGTCTAAAAGTCGAACACTTTGTGTGGTTTAGTGGCAACCACTAAACCAACTAAAAAGCCAACGTACCTACTTGCATTTGCTTTTTCGCCTGGAAAAGCTCTAAAAATGTGTCCAGCATGCAGGAGCCGCCTTTCTTCAAGGGACACAAACCTGGGTTGTTCCCAAATCCCCTGTACCACTAAACCAACCAAAAAAATCGACATACCTACTTTCGTTTGCTTTTCGCCTAGAAAAACTGTACATGTTTCCAGTGAAATGGATTCCCTTGAACACCAACAAGGAAGAAGCAAACATATTCTTAAGCAAATGAAAGTAACGTGGAGCCCAAGATGGGAGGGAAGTGGTAGTCTACAAATGGGTGTTTGTTGTGTTCCTATGTTCTGTAGAGCAAACAAGGGAAGAAAAATGGCTCCCCCCAGCTGGCTGCTTTTTCCCATGTGCAAACCCCACAAGCAGCCCAAGTGAAAGGAAATCGCTGCGAACAGAAAGAGGCATCTCAAGGAACCCAGGAAACAGGACGTGTGGGGCCAAACAAAAACAAAAGCAGGGTTTTGGGTGGGATGGAAAAAACGGTCGATGCTTGTTGCAATCTCAGCATGGTTCTGGAACATCCCCCATGTGTGTGATGCCACAATTGGATTCCAATCCCATGACCATTTTCTCACAAGGGATTCCCAATGATTGTTTCGTGTGTACGAATGGAACAGCTCTTTGGGCCGAGACCCCAGCTGTTGAGCTAAAAACACGATTGCCGAAACGCAAAGGGCGCAGTCTGCGTATGCGGGAGACTCCCCTCCGCGCTTCAGCAACAGATTTCTAGGGGTACCTTCCATTTCCCAGGGATCCTTCTTTCTAGAAAACCTCTGGAATCCTAGGGAAAACGGCCAATTTGTGAAAATAACGCTGGTTGAAAAGAATGGGGACTCAACCCCTAGAACTATCAAAGTCACCCCCTAAATTGGTAGGTCAAAGGGAACCAACCCCAAGAGATGGAGAACCCCTAACCGTCCAAGTTCAACCCCTAGAACGAAGCACGATCGCTTCGAATCCCGACCTGAGCTCCGAAGCGCAGGACCGCGCTCTGCAAGAGCCGTGCCGCCTCCTCTTTCACTGCGAAAGCCGCGGCGGCGGCCTGAAGAGCACGGAGTCCGGTTTTTCCGGGTGTAGGCACCGTCTCCCCCCCCCCAACCGTTTTGTCAATTTGCCTATACAGCATATTTGTTTTTCTTTTTTTTGTTGTTTGTTTTTTTGTTTTTTCCCGGAACAAATCCCAAAAAGCTGATTCAAGAATTGGATCCACACGTAAAGAACCTGTATCATGCCTTGAGCTCGTTATACCCCCGAATCGGTGAGCTAGCTATAACATATAAGGCAGAATCATGCAAACCACCCCCGCAAAGACTAAAAGGAACATGGTGAAGGGTTACCTACTATACAGTTGGCCTCGGCTCCATTGAACCCTGTGTAAAGAGTTCCGGTTCTTGGGTGCAATGGAATTCTACACAGTCCTTAAGTGGAAGCTGCCCATGCATAACTTGATGGTTCTCATTTCCTTGGGGATGAACCTGCTCTTGATGGAACAAGGGATGCTTTGTAGGCGGCATTCTCTCATTCCCCTGAGATCCGCAGAATAAGGAGTGATGATGAGGAAACCGTTGACGGCTATACAGTTGTACCATGATGATTTAGTGTTTCCACGAGTTTCATCAAGTTTTCCTGCAGGTTCTACCAGCACTGCGTCAAAACTGCAAGTCAGAACCCCTTTCAAAGCCATCCACGAATAAGCCAGATGGCAAACTGAAACTGGAAAAGACACACGCATCTTGCAAGATAAGCATAGGCAGTGTCAAAATTTGGGCCTGCTGATCGACTGGCTGCGCACAAAAGCAAGAATGCTCACGAACTGGCCCTTCGACCAACAAGAAACTTGCGGGCGGTGCATTCATGGACTAAACGGCAAAACCGTGGATGTACGGACGCGATCGAGCGAGCGAGCACACTGACATGTTTGTTTTTCTCCAACTCACGGTTCGTATCCTTTGGCTCGGGTTCTTCCAACTGCACTTCGTGCAAATGGCGACTTGGCATGTGAGTAAAACAACCTGCTTGGCTAGATGACTTGATTTCCTATCAAACAATTCGGCAAGCAATTGTCAATGCTGGAAAAACCTGCTCGAACTAGTTCTCAGGGCATGGGGGTCAGGCCCGAACATGGGCCTGAATTTATGTGTTGATAGCTGTGTGTCAGTGTTCTTCACAATCAGACTTGGGTTCACTGATCTGCAACATGTACTATACTTCCAAAAGCTGAACTAAGGAATCCCCAAGTAAAGGACCTTCATCATGGCTTTTGCTCCTTCTACCCCCGAATCGGTGAGCTCGCATACAACAAATACGCAGACGGCTTGGTTGCTGTTGACCCCTGCAAAAAGTTGAACTTTTTGTGGGTTTAGTGGGAAACCCAACTTGATTTCAACCAAAAAGTTAAAGTCTAAAGATCCAACCCAACAGCAGTCAAGACGGATGGGATCGGAGCGTCTTGCGCCTGCAGCTGCTGTCGTGCTTGGAACCGCCGCAGCACCGCCGCCACGCAGGCGCCAGCCTGGGCTTTGGCAGCGGCCGCTGCGGCCTCGGCCGCCGCGGCCGCCGCGGCCGCGGCCTCGGCTTCCTCGGCGGCCGCCACCAAGCAGACCTGGCGATGAGGCGCACGATGTGCATGGGTGTGGGTCAAAAATATGTAGCCCAAACTGGCTTGCCCTGGTAAATGGAAACATGGACGAAAACCTAAGGTCCAAGTCCTGGTGGTTTAATTGTGACTCATACCCAGATCACAAGCACAGATTGTTTGGGGGTTTTGGTGGAAATCGTTATTTTTGATGGCTCTGGAGGGATACCAAGCGGAACAACATTTGGGAACGGTTCGGCCATTTGGAGAAACACCCGCTTTTGCGAAGAGCTATGTTTCTCAAAGTTTATACTGTTGTAAGTTGATTCCTTAATTTCCACTCTCGGAAAAAATGTGACGACTTGTACTTGGACCTTTCTTTCCGGCTTCTAGACCAACAGTGCTTAGCATGAGTCAGGCCCATGACAGTTTAGGCCGCCGGCCAGCAAAAATATGAGCACTTCAGTCTTGCAATTTGTCGGTCGGCAGGAAGTGAACTATCTTCTTGCTTTGGGTGGGTGCAATGGCAGAAGTTGGATCAGCTTGATCGAAGTTCGCTTCACACAGTCTGCATATTGTTTGAGGTAGCACGAGCTCAAGCCATGGTAACAACCATGTACTTGGGGATCCAATTCTTACTTGCGAGCGCTGCCAAAAACCGAATGCCATGAAGGCGGCCGACCGTCGCGCGCCTTCGCCAAGAAGCTGCGAAGCACGCTTTGTACCTGAGCAGCGCAGGTCTTCAGCAAAGAAAGAGTAAATACCGATGAGTCGGCCTGTCAACACAAATCAGGCTCCCTCCACAGGATTGAGCATGAGTCTTCTGAGACACAAACACTGGCACACACACACACACCCACACACCCACACACCCACACACCCACCCACACACACACACACACACACGCGCATACATATACAATATAATGTGCACATACAAGCATTACATCAAGCACAGGCGCAAGCAAACCCACACACACACAGACACAAGGGCAAGATTAAGCATATGCATAGTATAAAAACAAACAGTAGGTCATATACATTCGAGCGGACTGAATTGCAGGGTTGTCAACTTGCTCCCTACTTGCAAGGCCAAGCACCGTACACCTTGAAAAACCTTCAAAGTCCTGAGCCTGGTGCATGCCTCAAGCGCTGAGCCCGGGGCAAAGCGCACAGCACCCTCCCTCCGTGACGGGGAGCAGGGAGCCGCAGGAACGCCTTGGTGCAGCAAGCCAGCTGTGGCAAGGGCAACTTTGGCCCAAGTATCCTGAAATGACATTGGTTTTTCTGTGTCCGCTTTTGGGCGGTGGCCAATCTGGATGTTCACACTTACCCGAGCTCTCATGCTTGCATTCACAGAGTGAAGTTGAGCTGGGCTTGCTACCGGTCACTGCAGGAGCACAAGCTCTTCTGATGTCAATCCCCTTCCACTCCACCCGGAGTTTACTCTCTTGTTTGCCTGTGGGCATTTTTTTTGCGGCTTCATAGACCTTCCCCTGCTCGGTACGCGCCACCGTGGAAAGGCTCGCGTCTAGGCCCCCCACGAAAACGTGCCTGTCACGCTTGGAAGGCAGACTGGGTTCTGGCAGCTCTCCTTTCATGTGGTTGCCAAATCTTGTGTGAATCCACTGCAATTAACTCCACTCTGCGTGGCTTTAAGACCGAATTTTGCATGATGACCTACACGAATTAAGGTCTGCCAGGCTGCTTGTGTCGAAACGGCTTGCCAGCCACCTTCAACATGCTTAAACAGCAACACATCCCATGATGTTCCATGCAATTGGTTGAGCCGACTTGTTTCATGTTGGTTTATTTCATAACGGTTTGCTTCATGTTGGTGCCATACATCGTGCCCAGCCATTCAAACAACTTCCAGGGAGCCTACGACAGTGCCCGGCGCCTGGTGGTAACGTCGGAAGGCTGCCTGCGAAGGAGTGTGTCGCGGCAGGCAGGGGGTGATTCCATGTGTTTGTTTTGCTTTTAAATATACATATATGAGCCTACCATGAATGTCCGGCAGAGCCGGGGGCCGAAGTTTTAAGATATAAGAACTAAAGTTTGGAGCAAGCTTCTTTTCCTCTTCTTTCTTTGAGTCTCTTTCATTTCTCACTTTCTCTTTCTGCCCTTATGTCTCTCGCTATGTATGTCTTTCTGCTGCGATCAGGGCCCACGGCCATGCGAATGGTCCTGTCGCCGAGCCCGCTCCGCACCCGTTCCGACAAACATCGCGACCGAGGTCGTCTGCACACTCGCACAGGGCCAACATGTTCTGCCTCTTGCTATTCCCAGTCCTGGCGTTTTCCAGCTTTTTCTTAGCTGTTCACGCGAAGCGTGTCTATTCTTAAAGATCATGCACAAGTTCTGTCATATAGAGAAAGCTAGACTCAACTTGTTCCAGTACTACGGAAGTTCCTTCTGACCTTCCTTTGATGAATGTGTATTGAACACCAACATAGACATACAGCAAGTCAACCAGCCACAAACCCAGCGGGGATATATGTTGGATTGTTTGTCCAAGAAACAATGGGAGCTCTTGTACAACCGGATTACAAAATGATTCGCGGATTGGCAGCTGTTGTGGCCACGGCAAGGCGCAACAGGCTGGTGTTCTCAGTCATGAATGGCACAGGGCAAACCAAGCTCATGGGGCTTGACCGGTTCCCAGCTTCCTCACTGGGTTGGTGCCGATCGAGGCGAGACCGGACCCTGTCTTGTGTGAGGGCGAGCTGGAAGATAGCGGCAAGGCTTCCAAGAGAGGAAACATACAAGTCTTTCAGGTAACCATAAGGAAACCAGAAACAGCTCGGGGTCGGAAATTCCATGCTAGTGACGAAAGCGCGTGGAAGGGCTGCTCATGTTGTCAGCTTCCGTTGGGTGTTTAGTTGTTAACCCAGGTAAAACGGTCAAACCACACTACTCTTTTTTTTTCTCCGTCCCCTTAAGTGGTGTTAAACTTGTTACTAGCCCAGAGGGTCCAAGTACATCCTGAGGATAGCTTTTGGGGGGTAAAAAAGGGTCTCAGTACCTCTCAAGGTACCAAGGGACCCTTTGGGTAAGGGGTTTTACCCGTGGCGGTTTCCACTTCCCAACTTGGCCGCGAACGTGCATCTCGTGCCTGGATCTGCACAGCCGCCTGCACCTCCCTCGACTCCTTCGGGCTCCAAGGGGACAATTCTGCCGATGCGGGGCCGATTCGGCTAAATGCCTCCGTTTGCGTTTTGGTCCTCCGGAAAAAAATACAACTACTACCAACCAACAAGGGAAAATAACATATATTCTTAACCAAATGGAAGAATATGTTACCGAGTATGGCCAACGCTGGGGAAACCACACGGCTGGTTTAAGCATCTTTGAGCAAGGGGTGGGCCCAACCCACCCCAAAAAAAACAATTGGGTCTGTTCTCGGGCCCTTGTTGGATCTTTTGCCGGGGGTTTCATGACGCACGGTAGCAATATGATCTGGAGCCAAATTCTTTGATTCGAAACTCGATCCGCTGGCGATTCAGAAAGTACACCCTTCGGGGACACTGTTTGCATAGGCATGGCCTCTGATTCTTGATCGCCCGGTCCCAAAGAACCAGAAGATCTACCCGCATCGGCGAAAATCGCCGGCAACTCGCAACTCGCAACTCGCAATTCGCAATTCGCAACTCGCCTTTTTCAAGCCTGCCTTAAAGGCCCGGGATTCGTCCCAAGCGCCGTGGTGATATTCACCATGCAGGCGTTTCGACGCGTCAAACTGAGTTGGGGCATTAAACTTACACATCGCAGCCCTCGGTTCTGGAGAAGCTGCCGGCCTAGCCCAGTTCCAGTTACCATAGGCGACCAGGTATTTGTCCCGCTTGGTGTTTCATGACTCATGATCCTTGCTACTGGAGATCCCGTGCGGCGAGGCCGGCTTTGGTGCGATAGGCAGGGAATGAGCAAATGAGCCCTACCAACAATCCAACTTATGATATTCGGGAATCCCAAAACGGTTCTTGCCCGGACTCGTTGTCAAAGCCCCTATCGCACCAGCAAGTTACCCTGGACCGGAAACCGCTCGTTGCTCGGGGCTCGCTCAAGTGGCGCTGCTGAGGATGGTATTCTCGCGCCATTGGAGCCACTCCGTGGAGACGAGGTCATAATGAGTCCTCGGCCGCTTGCCATGCCGCGTAAAGATGCCTCCGCGCAACTGGTGGCCTAGTGGTTGATACTATGCACATACCCGCAAAACAAGTGGCCAGTGACAGGAAGCCATTTCTTGAGCATCCTAGATTGGGCGGCTGATTTGACCTCCAGGCTGCTTGACAAGCTGATCGGAAACATTGACTGTTTGTTTCGGGCTCGGCACCGGTGCTGGGGATGCCAAGATGCTTCAAGTAAGGCCCATTCCAAACTCGCGCCTTTCAGCCGGCCGGAAACCCACCCAGCCACCAAGCCACCAAGCCACCCAGCCACTCAGCAACACACCAGTCAACCAATCAACGGACCGCCCCCGACAAAACCAAGCGACCAAGTCCAGCTTTCCTTCTTGCCATGCAAAAACTGCCGCTGGCCTAGCCCAGCTCGATTGTTTGTCTTGGTTTCTCAACCTGAGAGCCTCAGGACCGAATCCTCTGGGTGTTGAAAATCGAACACCTGAGGCCAGTGGGTCTGGAAGACATTAGAGCCAGGGTGCTTGCCATTGTACCAAAGCACAATGCAGTCCTGAGCCAAAAGGAGATGCATCTCCGCACCTACGGATAGCTCTGCAATGGTAAACAGACATCTTCACCGGTGTGAACACCATAGTGTTTGCCTGCTTCTCCAACACTCATCCACCTGCGAGCGAAGCCAGGAAGCGTCCATGTGCCAAAATTGAAAAGCCCTTTGCAAGAGTCAAACTCTCATCCCACTTCGTAAGTAGCTCATGGCCATGATGTAATATATACATATATATATATGTATGCATATATATATATATCATATGAAATTGTATACATACATATATATATATATCATATGAAATCGCCCACCCAATCAAACCTCGTCATAACTTGCGCGGTTTGAACATCCCCCCCAACAACAAACAACGAAACCGGCCGATGGCTCCTCCTTGAGCTTCACCTTGTCTGTGGGCAAGTACATCCCTGCGTCGAAGGTCAAACCCTGCTCGCTGTTCCAGGAGTAGACTTGTATAGGGCAGCCAATGAGATCCTCAGATGGCTGTGGCTCAAAAAAGTGATACCCCTTGGAAAACGGGAAACCCCTAGCTCTTTAATTTGAGCCACACCCAGATCCATTGAACAGGACATGTAGAACTAGGTCCTCCAGTAGAGAGGATAGAATAAGGGTACCAACTTTTCTTCTGTAGTCTATTTTAGTAGGGGAACCCTTCTCCAAAAAAGGGTAAAAGGGCACTACTGGGGCACCTTGAGAAAGCTCACAGGTGTTGTCTTGCAGTGTTCGAACCCATGAGGAGAACAACAACTCGACACATCGTCTGCTGACCCATGTGTCTCATCTGGTCGATGTGCGGCGAGAAAACTGCAATCTTTCTGCCGAGAATCTGGCAGAAACTTTAGGCAGATCTCATCGCCCCAAGTCCGCCAATCTTCCTTGGCTGAAATTCGGACCCCAGCAAAAAACACTTGTTAGTGCCCCAAAAAGCCCCCCAAAAAAAAGGCGATAAAAAAAGGGGAACTCATTCTGGGGAAGCCTCCATCTTGCTCAAGTACTCCTCAAAGGGCACGGGGCCCTCCAATAGAGCCGACACCTCCTCCTTGCACTTCTGGAGCCGCTGGCAGAGGCCTCAAGCGTTGAGAGAGAGCTGCAATGCAGCTAGGTTTTTTGTCGATTTTAGTAGGATTGCACCGTGACATTGGCCAATTCTACACATTTGCCTAGCTTTCTTCCAACAAGCTCCCATTGTTTCCCAACAACACAAGACGACTGTCTGGCGGCATGGGGAACCCAAACACCCCGCCGACATCCGAGGGAACAGGGACCACCAGACATCCGAAGGTATCTTGGGCAGCGTGCCAAAGGATACCTCATGATGCTTGGCCTCCCCTTGGCCTCCCCTTGGCCATCCCAGAAGTGGCGCCTTGTTTTAGCAAGTGCCCTTCGACCGGGACTAAATCGGCCTTCTTCGGGCTAAGCTCTGTTGGCTGGAGGAAGGCGGTTCTCCCAAATCAACAGACAGCTGTAATACTACATGGGTCTGACTTTTTTGAGGGGGGGCCCTTTGGGCATGACTCAGCTGGGGATTCTTGTCCACTAAGCCATATCTGGCCATCCGTCGCTAGCCAAGTGGCATCTGCGCAACTTGTCCGCCGTCTCCCGCTCCTTGGTGCGCTGTGCCTCGTCCAAGGGCTCGCCCAGGATATCCCGCGGCAGTCGGTTGTGGTGATCCAAGTACCGGGCACGGGCCACCTAAGAGGCTCGGCAGCCTTTCTCCCCAGAGCCCCGTCCCCTGATGGATCGTTTACATGAGGAACATGACACCAGGTCGAGTCAAATTCAAAAGCCGGTAGTAAATGGTCTACCCAGAACCATGTCAAGAATTAAGAAGGCGGCCGCAACTATTTCTGTCTGGGACTGCCCCTTACTCTTCTTCATCTACCCAGGCACCAGGTGTCTTTGACACAAAATCTCTTGGCACGCCATTTGAAAGCCCTTCTTCTGCTTAGGAGATCTCGTGACAGTGCTGGATGCGTCCGATTGGGGGGTTGCCACCGGTGCCAGGGAGCTATTCTTACGTCGAGCACGATTGCACAGGCAAAAAAAGCAAATGCCGAAACCCCAAAAACAAGATGCCGCCAAAGGCACAGCTCGAAACAGGCACCGGCAGTCCCCAAGGACCTTCCAGATTTTGTGCGGCTCCCTGTCATTGCATGTCTGTGCCGGCGCCTCTTTGGGCGCTTTCGCCTCTGTCACCGCTTTGGGCGCCGCCTCCGGCGCCACCGGCGCCACCGCCGGCTCCGGCGCCGGGCGCGGGGCAGACGAGCGCCGCCCGGGCAGAACCACGCGCCGCGTGTGCGCCAGCGCCACAGGCGCAGGGCCAGGCGCCGCAAGTGCCGCGGGCGCCGCGGGCGCCAAGGGCGCTGCGGGCGCCGCGGGCGCCAGCGTCGGCGCCTCGCTGCGCGGCCGCTTGGGCGACGGGCCTGGCTGGGGCAATTTGGGGTTTGAGGGGTCCTTGTCAAGTTATGATTTCGACAGGGGCTATGCTCCTAACAGGCATAGGAAATCGATTCCTTGGGGCCACGTGTTGGGTCTGTCTTTCAACTCACAGGCAGCTACGACTGAACATTTGCCGGATGCCTGAAGCAGCGGGCAGGGAAGGCTGCGACAGGGACGACTGCTGCGAGTCATCTTGCTGCGAGTCTGCTGGCAATTCCTCATTCAAAAGGTCCAGGAGTGGAGCCAAGGTGTCCACGTTCAACCACCCGCCATCCCTCCACTTCTGCACCTAGAGAGCTCGAGGACGTGACACTCGCTCAAACACGGGCCACAACTAGGTGTTTGTTGGAAAAAACGAAATCAGTTGCCTTCCTGGTTCTCAGCAATGGCCATTCCTCGCCAAACGCATATGGGCGTGGCTCAAAATTAAACAGGAGGGGCAAACCGCAGGTTTTGGTCCATGTTTCCACTTACCAGGGCAACCCATTTTGGAATTCCGGTTTTTTGAGCCACAGCCATATCAGTATCAAGCAACACTTTCGTGACCCTCGCCAAACGCATACAAAAGCCCTCCCTTTCACGAGTATTGGCAAGCAAAAGTCTTCTGCACGTGACTTCGGAAGCTCCAGCTGAAACATCGCAGTTTCTCAGAATGCTCAACAAAGACATGTGTAGACGAGGCTTGCAAGTCCTTTGCAACCAAGCCAAGCAAACAACATGCCATTCTCCGTTTGATCAAAGATGACTCAGTTTGCGTAGCTGTAAGGCGCATTCACTGTTTGCTGAGGAGACAAGGAGAACCTGCCAGTGGTCCCTCTGGACATAAAGCTGTCTGCTGATGGCATTGAACATGCCGGCTCAAGGCGGCCCGCACCACAGAAACATGCTCCATGTTACAGCCACCTTGCTCGCCTGCGATCATATAGACCTTCATGCACAGCACCGCCTCAACATTGCCTTCCTGCTTTCTGGCTGCGTATTTGCACAACCTAGAAACATGTCCGCAAACTTGATGCCTCATGCGCTGCCCTCTTCAAAAGCACCGGGAGGCCTTCGGGAAAACACTACGAATGAGAAGCTGCATGCTTCATTCAGCCCTTTGCTCGACTATTCCTGTCACTTGCCAGATTCAGGTGTCTAAAAATAGGGAGGCTCCTTGTTGCACGACTTTCAGAAGACAAACGACAACTGGCAGTGACGGCGTGCTTGACGTTTCCGTAGCTCCAGCTCGAAAGTCACAGCTCTACATTTACCGCGACAATTACTGCCATTTAAGGAAAACAAATCCCCCCCCCACCCCCACCCCCCCCCCCCCCCACGCCACCCACTTGTCCCTTCAACCCTGGGTAAGGCACCATGCGCCGGCTCTTCTGCAATGCGTGAGGCTGGCGACGGTGCCTCAAACTCGAGACATCTCGGCCACGGGATCACGACTCCACTTGTCCCCGTTTTCACCGCGCGTTCAGCGGGGCACACAAGGTACACCAAAAAACAAACGACCTGAGTGCACCCCAACTTAGTAAGTTGGTGACCTGGGTTATGACCCACTGATGGCCCGCTCTGAGTAGGGTTAACCTTGCTAGAGGGTTATACCCCGAGTGGCGTTTTCCACTAACTAACTTGGCCGAACATCCAAGCAAAAAGTACCGGACCAGACCTGACCGGACCCCTGAAATCTTCACGCTTCCTTCATCTAGGAGCTCATAACTTGCGAATGCGCCGGGGAATTCCAGAAACAAGCACTGGTGACCTGGTGTCTGGTTCAGGACTAACAGGGTAGACCATGGGGACAAGGAAAACACAAGGACCCAATTTTCCACCCAAAAGAATTGGTCTTTGGTTGGTTGGCTTGTTGAGTGGTTGGGTCTCCGAACTTGAGCCAGTTAAACTTTGAGCAGATCAGGATGGTCTGGTGGGGTGTTGCTAGTTGGCCATGGGTCAAAACCCAAATCGTACCCCCAGTGAACATCTCAATCCAAGCACTAAAATAGATAAAATGGGTGGTGAATTCACCTACCCCAAAATGGGATCCCATTGGTGTTGACCCACAGCCAGCTCAAAGGCAAAGCGAAACCAAAAACTCGGCTCTGGACCACTGGCTGAGAAAGGGGTGGGGCTGCTTCGGTTCAACCGAAAAGCGGGGGGGGGGGGGGTAATGCCGATGTTCCAATCTTCCGTTTTCCGTAGGGGGACGCCAACAAATCAGGGAAAACATCATTACCATCTGGCAAAAGGCTTGAATATTGACCCAGTGCTTCCAGTTTCCACATGGGTAAGCAGGGTAAACCATCATTTAAAACCTAAAAGTAAAAATACCTGACAGGGAGGTCCTGGAAGACCATCTTCCTTTCAATGTTCATTGGTGGGGGGTACCTACTATGATTAGAGTTAGGCCCAGTTATGGAATGTATATTTTATTGTTTGCTTCACTTTGAGTCCCTGAATTGTAAAATGTATCCTAAGTCTTCCCTAGCTATGGTTCTAGCAGCCCTGGACATCTTTCTTTTAAGAAACCGCCCGGTCGACTCGCCTGAGCACTTGCAGCAGCCAACTCCCCAAGTGGGGCTGCAGCGCTTTTGCCAACTTCTCCGCCACTGGGTCCTCCAAAGAGCCGCCACCGCTTCGAGTTCTTCTTATCATAGGTGTCCTTTTAGGGCAAATAGATGGCCCTGGTAGATGATTAAGCCCCCAGGTAAACCAGGGCCATCGATTTTTCCACCAAAACCACCAAAAAGCACACCTATGGTTCTTTGGGTTTACCTTCTCACTGTATCTTGGTTGACGTTGGAAGGAGAGCAAAACTTGACATTTTAGCAGTTCAGTGGATTTGGATTTCAACCACGAAACCACAAGTAAAATGTGTCCCAACAACCATGGTAATGGCCAAGGGTATAGTCCCTGGAACGCATGCTGTTTTCCACTTCACGCTCCGGCGACATGGAACCCAGAATGGCCAATAGCTAACGCGATCGAAAGAAACTGCAGCAACGACAAAAGCCAACATCCTCGTCGCTTCGGAGATCCATGTTCAAATCAAAATGGGAGCGTTTCAAAATGGCGGGCCTCTTTTTGGTTGACCTTTCAAGTGGAACCAAACGGAAACCAAGCCTTGTCGGGGATCCCTACGTTTGATACATCCTCAATTGGAACAGGATCAACCTCCGAAAGGGTTTATGAAATCTATCACAGTACAACATTCCCCCCTTAATAGGTAACCCTTCAGTAATACCTCTAGGCGTTACCTGTTGGCTTCTAGTGGCTGGACTGGGTATGCCCTGGTCCTGTTTGGGTCCCCCTTTCGGCTGCCTTAAGGGATCCAGGGCTCGCCACACCACAGCTATCCAAGCCCCTTTCCGCTTGCAATGCGCAACCCCCGATTTCCGACTTGGCGTTTCTTTTCGAAAACGGGCGGTTTGGAGCCGACCCGGTAATTTTGGAGGCAACTTACCCTCAAGAACCTGGCGGTTGAAAACCAATGCAAACCAAAGGGCTACCTGAGTTGCCCCTCATTTTCATCAAATCTGAGAACTCAGATCTGCCGCTCATGTTTTTTTTTTTTCGGAAACCCAACCACTAAACCCACCAAGAAGATCTCTAAGAAGCTGCGTTGAGCCGGATGGCCGCGTCGGGAGCCGAGTCAACTCGATCCCATTCCTCCATTTGCTTTTTCGTCCCCTGGAGAAAAAACAATCCAGAAGTGAAATCGATTCCCTCTAAAACCAACAGGGAGAAACAAAAAAAGGCTTAAACAAACGGCCATGGGGCAAAAGCCCATACCTCCAGTGAACATCCCAATCCAACCACTAGAATAGGTCCTAAAATGGGTGGTGAATTCACCTACCCCACATCCCAATCCCCACTAGAATAGACTAAAATGGGTGGTGAATTCACCTACCCCACATCCCAATCCCCACTAGAATAGACTAAAATGGGTGGTGAATTCACCAATCCCAACCAAAATGGGATCCCAAAACGGGTTTGACCACCACAGCCAATGGACGCCTTCCGTCGTTCCGTGGATCGGGTCCTGTAGGTTCCGCTGCCGCGCCAGCTCGGTGCGCCTGAGCACGATGTCCACCACGTAGAGCCTGGGCGCAAAAACTCGCCCGGGAAAACCGTTTTCAGATCCCAACTTTTTTCACGCTGGCATTTAACATACTGGACTCTCCTGAACTCTAAAAGCTTCACTTTTGTGTTAAATGAACAGAAGTGGGGGGTTGGAAGGAGATCAAAAGTACAGCCACCTTTTGTGTTGGGGGGGGGGGAAAGGGATTCCAGCCTGAAAGAAAAAAGAGCGCCGCCGGTGAAATGGACACCACTGCATACTTTTCTCACATCCAAAGACCTAAGGGGATGGCTGGGAACGACAAAGGTTCTGGCCCCTTCTTTTGAGCCGCGCCGAAAGTGATCATCATTGACAAATGCCAGCTTTTGCCCAGGCAGACATTGTGTGACCGGCGAGACGTCCGTGTAAAAAAAAGCCGCGCGAATAGGTCCCTATACATTCAACCACTTAAGACGATGGCGGCCCCATGCCATAATTTTTGCCAAGGAAATCAGGCAGCCTGATACTGCTTGGCTGGAATTAGGACCGCAGCAAAAACAAAGTTTCTAGTGGAAAACAAAGGGAATACAAAAGCAAAAAACTAAAAAGGGGAACTGACTCTGGGGAAGACTGGTAGATCGTGAGATCTCTCCCTAGCTCCTCTCAAATAGTTTCCATGGCCACTTCGACGGCTTACCTTTCCTGTCCCTTGCCGCCATTGGGCCAGCCCCTGACCATCCTGACCCCCCTCCACCAATTTTCGGGGGGAAAGGCCAACAACAAATCCAAGGCCTCCCCGCCCCATTTCGAGGCAAAGGCAGCAAAAAACAAAAGAAAATCCACATGAGTCCCAGCAGCAACGCCCTCATGTCGATGGTGGTGTACTCGGTGCCCTTTCGCATCATCTCCGAGATTTCACTGACGCCTTGCATCCAGCAGTCCTCCGTACACATCACATCCGCAGCCTCCTGTCAAGACCCATGCTGGCCTCCATTTGCATTTGTTTGACCTCTGGAGATAAAAACACATGAGCAGATTTCCAATAGTGATAGATTCCTTTTTAAAAACCAACAGAAACAACACGCACAACATATTCTTAAGCAAATGGAAGCCGTCCATACACCCGTCGAGCCGATTTCCGGGCGTGACCAAATCCATAGCTTTCAGCTTTGAAGGAAAAAGCAACTAGAAAGCTGACGAAGCTGCAAGCACACTAGTCTAGCGTTCTGGCTGGATTCTCGGCTTGCTCAATTGGGTATGTTTCTTTAAATTGGAAAAGCCCCTTTGGCGGGCATCATGTAGGTGGGGATTGCGGTCGAACACTGATCTGGGAGGGTGTTCCAATGCAGACCTCATACATGTAGGGGAAACGTTGCAGGTGGTTCGCCTAAGCCTAAGTGAAGAAAGATCCTTCCCCTCTTTTTGCGGGGAAGGGGGGGGGGTTCAATCCCCCCCCAAAAAAAAACGGAGAACCACGGAGAACCACCGGGCTGAGCGAACCGTTCGCTCGTGTGCCCGCGCCTGCAGACGAGCCCGGAATCCATAGGGGGGCTCCTGGGCCCTCACGGCCGCGGCCGCCACCAGCGCCTTGTGCAGAACTCGACTGGCCATGGCCGGCCGAGCCGCCCATGGCGCGACTTCGACGCACGAAGTCGCGCAGTGGTTTCAGGTCTGCTCAGTGATTCAGTGATTTGCTAGGTTTCCAAGCAATGAACCACCCTAAAGACAAAACAGAAATTGAAGAACCAGCTGTAGCGGGAACTGGGAGCCACTGGGTTGATGAAATGAATGCGGAACGCCTTGAAGCAAGATTACTCTCTTGCGTGATGCAAATGAAAGCAATGACTCTGCTCCCGTTCCAGGCGAAAACTTCTGGATTGTACGTGTGGCTCGTGGGGTCACAGTACATCTTGGGACGTCTGGTGGGACATCTTCTGCAGGCTTGCCGCGTGTGGCTGTGTCAAGCGCTTGGGTTCGTTTCCGGCCATTTCTGGTGCTTTCCCCTCAGATTCCTGCTTCCCTGTGAGCCAATGCAACAATCTCCTGAGCCGCAAACCCCCTGAAAGTCGCCCAGAAGCGCAAGCGCGCCCTAGCGCAAGAGCGCCAAACCACCCGAAACCGCAGCCAACTGGCTCCTGTGCCGCCGCTCTGACCTGGAGAGTGAAATTTGCAGATTGCAACTCTTGGGACGTCGGAAGCCAAAAAGACCCCGCAAAATCCCCTTAGCACCTGAGGATGGCTTTGGGGGCTGAAAGGGGGTCCTTGGGTCCTCAGGTAGCAAGGGACCCTAGAGAGCCGCAAGCCAGCCTGACCATGGGCCTTCAAGCGAGCTAGTCAACGAGCTAAGGCCTGAAATGGGGAGAATTCGCCTCTTGAGAACATCAAATGCTTGAGAACATAGGTGACTTCCTGAGTGGATGCATCAAAATAGACTTCCCAAAGTGTCAAGTCCAACTCAGGGAATGAGGCTTCCCTGGATGGATGGCATAAGACCAATCACCAGTGGAACCCATGACCGATCAGAAGGACACCTAAGCATCAAGAAAAACTCGCTGCACCTGCGCAAGGTATCATGCGAGATGGGACAACTGGATTACAGGCGGCGGCATTTGTGGGGAAAATGAGGGTTGGCCCTCCGTGCCTTTGCCACATATTCAACTACCAACAAGTGTGTTAGTTGCTCCCGTGCTTCTAGCCTCTTGCGTTATGGGTACTGGAAAATTGGGGGGGGGGGGGGGTGTCCTTCCGTGCCTTCAGACTACCAACAATTGCTAGGTCCTCCAGATTTGAGAGGTTCGAATAAGGGTACCAACTTTTTTCTGCAGTCTATTTCGGTGCGGGAACCCTCCCCCACAAAAGAAACGGTCAAAGGGCACCTAGCTGGGGGACCTAGATTGTGTCGCTTGCCGTGCTTCTAGCCTTCCGCTTCCGCGCCGTGCTTGCTGCAAATGCACTTGCGAAGCCACAAGCCGTACCGGCCTCTGGCTCCGACGAAGACTCTGCTTGACCGGAGACGCCAGCGGCCTTTGGGGGGAGTGGCATTCCCGTTTTGTTCTTTTTTGTTCAAGCATTTTGCCAAGCCATCCATTATTGTCTGGAGTATGAAAAGAACGGAATGGATGGCCAAGCATAGAATCTTCAAATTCTGTCTTCCGGTCCATTTTGTAATATATATGCCTGTAGGATGTGTATCCATTGCTGGGATGTGTTGGAAGATTGATTCCCAGCACTGATTGTGAACAAGCGAACATCGATGGTAAACCCTGCCACTGCCACTGAAGGGAGCACGGTGTTGAGGTGCCCGCAAACAAAACGCTTGCACAAATCCTAGAACAAGGATAGTCCTCCACGTTACAAGGAGCATGGCTGAGAGAGAGGGCGCCTGGGTCACACAAAACCACCAGCCAATTTGCCAATTTGCCAATCTTCCAGATTCAAGATCTGTGCCTGCATCCGAAGTATCTGTGTACACTGTCAACTAGGGACAGCAGTGCCAAGAACAACACGTTTTCAAGCAAGCACCCCGCTAAACGTGCCATCTCTTGCTCCCGACCAAGATATCAGTGGGTCACTGTAAAAATGGCTGAGGAAGCGGAGCCACATGGAGCGGCTTCGCACAAAGGGCCACAACATGGCTCCGGCCATTTGGACATCGTCATCTTCAAAGAACAACTGAGTGACAATCAAAACTTGGTATTCAAATAGTCGACCCAGAACCATGTAAGGAATTAAGAAGGCGGCCGCAACTAGTTATGGCTGGGACTGTTCCTTACTAACCTTCACTTACCCGGGTTTTGATTGTGACTCAACTACCCTTTGCGCTGCCCAACCCTCTCAAACGCTGGAGGCTTGCTTGTGACGGTAGAGTGGGTTCTTCACTCAGGTTGCCCAGGTTTTGGCCATGGGGAATTAACTGGAACCCTCCAAAACGCTTGGCAGACGTTCGTGCACACAAATCCAGCAATTCAAACCTCATCCCCCAAAGAATGAAAACCTTTTTGGCACTCTTTGGGGGCTCTGGGGGTTTCTGAGCTCGTAACCGTTGAGCAGCCACTCTCCTGCTCCGGCCTGGACACGGGGGCTCCCTGAACCAGGTAGACTGTGGCTATCTCGCTTTGTGGAGTTGGTAGCCCTCTTCCTGTGTTGTGTCTATCTCTCTTGGAGTTGGTACCCCTCTGCTTGCGTCTTTAAGGGGACGCCACAAGGAAAACCAAAGTCATTTTGAAGCTCCCCTGAAGGAAACACATACAAGTAAAGCCCGATGGATCCTCTTAGAGTCTATTTAGAGACATCTGATCATGGTTGCGGACCTGGGAAGATTGTTGGGAGCCGGGCCCCTGGAATGATATGCAGCTTGAAGGCAACTATCTGGAGGGGTTCCAGCTGAGGCATCACCTAGGTCCTCCAGCAGAGAGGTACCAACTTGTTTCGTTGTTGTCTATTTTAGAGGGTAACCCTCACCCTCCCAACCAAAAAAGAAAGGGGAAAAGTTGGCACCTGGCTTGCTGGGGGACCTAGTCACGATCGAAGGCTGTCCCTGGTTTTTAAGTCTCTGCAACTCTCAAAGTAAGCCGATTTTTTGGGAGGGCGCCGGAAGCAAACACCGCACAACCCTCAAGATGGGCGACCCAACACGCACGTGGCCAACACCGTATGAGGATAACGGTTAATCAAATAAGGGGGGTACTACACCGAGAAGAAAAAACAAAAACATACTCGACAATCCTTCCCGCTTCAAGGCATACGGGTGTTTCCCAAACCACCAGGTTCTATGATAAGATCTGGTTCACGGGAAAGACCAGGTGGATCAGACACAGTCTTTGGAGCTGGCAATGTCCGAGCTCCAAGCTCCATCCCCCGGCCCCGGCTTCAGCTCCGCTCTCTCAACAACTTTACCATGTACTCACCGCCAGCCAAAAGCCACCAAGACCTGATCTGACTGAGGTCCAACGCAGCCAAACTCTTTATGACATGCTGGGACACTCTTTACTATAACTGTCCGCCACCCAGCCAAAATGTTCAAGGGGGTGGTACGTGGAACATCCAGCAAGCGAATCACATGGTTTGTTTAAGCGTGGGGAATTGAGCAAAACGCAGCCAGGGCCCATTCAAAACAATACTGGGCCAGCTCAAAGGAATACGAAACCAAACCCAAAGCCAATTCGAACAGTGCTGAGCCAGTACACAAGAATACTACGCCAATATCAAGCCAAATAAGCCAAGGACAAGCCCCTCCTCCCCAGCTTCCCCGGTCCATGATTGCTGACACATAGACATAGTTGTACACATCTTGCATGATTTGCCCCAAGTGTCCGATTCTCATGTCGGGCTTTGCACCAATTGCAAATATGGTTTGGCCTTAAGCTCCCGACCATAGGTGTCCTTTTAGGGGACATAGATGGGTTTCCCTGGTAGATGATTAAACTACCAGGTAAACCAGGATTTTTTCTAGCAAAACAACCAAAAAGGACACCTCTGCTCTTGGCTGGAATTAGGACCCCAGCAAAACAACAAAACAATCTTTTGCCTGGTTAGTGGAAAACAAAGGGAAGCCCTAAACAAGCAAAAACAAAAAACAAAAAACAAAGGCAACTAATTCTGGGGAAGTGCTCCCGACTCTGTGGGCTTCCTGCCCAAGCTTCAACCAGAATCTCGCGGCGTTGTGGGCTCCCGGCGCTGTGGGCTCGCGGTCGTAGCCTCGGCGCTGGTCTGACTCCGCGACGCGGAACCTGGTTCCTCATTGCGTTTGGTTTCTTCACCCGAACGAGTCCAATGCGAAAGGCAAAGCCTATCTGAGCCACAATGAAACCCGGTATTAAAATGGTTGACCCAGAACCATGTAAAGAACTGGGACGGCGGATATCCGCAGCTATTTATGGTTGGGATTGTCCCTACTAAGCTTCATCTACCTCGGTTTTGAGCACGTGGCTCTGCCAAACTCCACCAGCTGTGGCCATAGAGCAGACTCATTAGGACCCGGGTCAAACACAACCAGGTCCTACTTTGAAGCGGCATATTTCACAAGCTTGTTTAAGGGGCATGCTCACCCTTTTGGCGAGTGGCTCAAATCAATCAGATCCTAAATGGCCAAAGAAGTCCAACAGCTCCTTCCCGCGAACATGACCTTCACGAATCCTGGTTCTTTAAGTCCATTCTCAGTGAGGCTGGCCGCTCGGGTCCTCGCTTGAAATCACGTTTCTCTCATGCCGCCATGGCTTGCCTCCTCCAATTGGATCAAGTTGCTTGCTAAGGGTCAAAAGGGGTCTATAAGTACCTCCTTAGAAGGTACCAAGGGACCCTCCGGGAGCTATGAGTCACCTTCACCTTCACCTCTCTGCGAAATCACCTCTTCCCCCGCCTGACGCTGTCGAGGAGGTATAGTCGCTGGAGTCGTAGCTGGAATCCGAGTCGGTCTCCGTTGCCTCTCTCGACCCACGGAACATGCCGAAGCGAATCGGCCCTCAACTTCCTGGGATCTTTGAAGGGTGCGGAATCGCAAAGCCAAAAGTGGTCCCCGACTCACAACATGGAGCTGACAGTGCACGGAAAAAAAAGAGGCTATGACTTCTGCTTCGGATGACGCTTCGGTGAGCGCTGACACAGACCTGTCC